AAAGTAAAATGCTTCAGAGTCTATGTTTTCATGTATGTACATAGGCACATATATTTTAACTTCCTGTTCTTTAATGTAAAAATGTCCTAAGAACTTTAATGTAGAAACTTCTAGCAAGAGCTTGGTAGAAGTAGAGTATCAGCTTATTTGCTGTTTTTGTAGTAGGATCTGAAGCTTACCGAGAACAGCCTCAGGTTACTTAAACCCCCTACTCAAGGTTCCCTTGGCTTCTTTACAGTCACTTATTCAAAGAGGAGGCAGCCTTTCATATAAAGTAGGATTTCTAGAAAATTTAAATTTGCCAAAGAAGTCTTTTAAAGCAAAAATTGGAGAATATCATAACACTAATTCAATGTTTGAATGCCTAGCTGTTAGGCAGAACCTTCACAGGTTTGTTTGCTTTCTCTAAAACCTTTTTTATACAAGGATTCATTCATTCAAGAAATAATTACTGAGTGTCAGTTCTGTGCCAGATCCTAGCCTCTTGCTGTGAATACAATTGGCATGGTTCCTGCCCTTTTAGAACTTACTGTACAGTGTGGGAGACAGACCTCAGGCCAAAATAAATAAATAAAAAGGCTCATAAAAATATGGTTAGAAACTGTGACAAAGTTTTGAATAAGGGTGTTGTCAGTGGAATTGGAGACAATTGGATAGAGTCAAGAAAATTTTAGAAGAACAAACACTTGTTGATGGCTTTTGTGCTGGAGGTATGTCACTTATCAAGGATAACTTAGATTCTGGTTGTACAAGTGTAAAAACTGGACAATAGTACATTGTTTTCAGAAGATTAAGTGTTGGCAGTTGATTTAGAAAGGAAGAAATTTGAAGGGATGGGAAGGTGGGAGATACTGTTATATTTTTGAACCATTAGGTTCAAGGTACATGTATGTCATTTGTATAATAAGAAAGCAGTTAGGCTTGAAGCTTAAAAAAGAGATTTAAATTAAGAATTATGTGTTTATTATATTAGAGCTGATATTTAAAGCAATAGAAATAGATTAAATTGTCCAGGAAAAACACTGAAAGAAGAGGGATAGCCAGGCTTGGTAACATATGCCTATAATAGCACTTGGGAGGCTGTTGTAGGATCTCTCTCTCTCTGGGGGTATAAGGTCTTTCTTAAAAGAAGGCCTTGGACTAACATCCTCCTCTTACTCACATCCCTAAAGACTCTAGCATTTTTGGAGGCATAGAAGAAAAAAAGAAGAAAAACATCAAAAAAAAGGATCAATCAGGATGAAACTGGAGAATGCAGTATCACCAAAGATAAAAGTGTTTTTTAAGAAGTTCTTTGGGCATTTTTCTATTTCATGTCCTGTTGCATCTTACACTCTTGTGACACTTTTTACAGGTGTCCTGCTCCAGAAATTGTTGCCAGTTCTGCTTCCTTAATACCATGGCACAATACCATTTCAGTACCTGTGAGATTCAAAGGGGGTAGGAATTTTAATGTATCTAAAACCCTCATTTGTAAAACAGCTTTATTGGGAGTTGAGACTTAAGAACACCTGTTTTCAGATTCACTTTTGTTAATACTGTTTGCATATGTTCAAATAAATATCTAGGTAGTTATTTAGAAATGTTTTCATGTTTTCGTGTGTATGTTTTTTGATTTCTGAGAAATGATGAGACAAATATTCATTGTCCTGTGAACCTAATCCATGGAGTGCAGGTGCAAAGTGAAGAATAGTTAAAGCTTTTATCAAGGATTAACATGCTTTTAAGAAAATAACTACTATTTAAGAAAATAATTATTAATCATTTAATCAAATTTAAATGACTTGATTTGGGGCTGGGGCTGGAGAGATGACTCATCAGCTAAGAACATGTGTTGCTCTTTTTTAAAAAAATACTCATGCCTTTAATTCCAGCACTCAGGAGGCAGAGGCAGGCAGATGTCTATGAGTTCAAGGCCAGCCTGATCTGCATAGTGAGTTCCAGAAGAGCTAGGACTACAGGGAGACCCCGTCTCAAAAAAAAAGAATTTTATAGCCGTGCATGGTGGCGCATACCTTTAATCCCAACACTTGGGAGGCAGCTACAAGGAAACCCTGCCTCAAAAAGACATATATATATATATACACACACATAATTTTAAAAAATTATTTTTATTTTATGTGTATGAGTATATTGCCTGCATGTCTGTGAGTATGCCCATGTTGTGCAATGCTGAAGAGATCAGAAGAGGGCTTTGGATTCCCGTGAACTAGAGTTAAGAACAGTTCATAGCTGCCATGTGGGTGCTAGGAATCGAACCCAGGTCCTCTGCAAGAGCAGTCAGTGCTCTTAACCACTGAGCCATTTCTCCGGCCCTGTGTGCCTTGCTTTTGAAGAGAACCCAAGTTTGGTTGCTAGTGCCTACATCGAACAACTCACAGCTATCTGTAACTCCAGCTCCAGGGGACCCAATGCTGACTCCATGGATACCTGCACTCACACAAACACATGGTTAGATAAATCTTTAAAAAATAGCCTAAGGCTGAGCATTGTGGCTCATGCCTTTAATTCCAGCATCCAGGAGGCAGAGGCAGGTAGATCTCTGAGTTTAAGGCTAGCCTGGTCTACAAAGTGAGTCCCAGGCCAGCCAGGGCCACATAGTGAGACCCTGTCTCATAAAAATAAGAAATCCATAGTGAGTTCCAGGCCAGCTGGGGCTACAGGGAAACCCTGTCTCAAAAAGACAAAAAAAATAACTTAAATATATTTGATTTGACTGTTGAGTAAAGGGTACATTTCAGTGTGGCCTTGAAATCTTCCTTCTCTGTCTTTTTTGCCTTCGTCCCGGTTGCCCTCGTTTCTTTGCCCCAGTTTTTCTACAGTTTAACTTCTTTAATGTTACAAAACAGAGCTGTATAGCACTTGGGAACCATGTTTGATTGAAGCAGCCTCTTTAACTGAACTGCTTTGTAGTGTTGCCTAACAAAATATGGTATAATCAAATTATAGTATAGCATGAGGAACATTGGTAATTACTTTTGTGACCTAGCCCTCCCTGCTGACTCCGCTTATCTAACCACAGACATTGTTCTGGAATCAGATTCCTAATCCTAGTGAGATCTGTGGTCCCAAGTACACCAAAATTAGTCTTACCAAACAGACAACTTTCTTCTCTTCTTTTTTTTTTTAATACTTTATTATTTTTATTTTATGTGTATGAGTGTATTGCCTGCATGTAGGTAAGTGCACCCGTGTTGTCCAGTGCCCACAGAGGACAGAAGAGGCTGTTGGATCCCCTGGAACTGGAGTTGCAGACAGTTGTTAGCTGCCATGTAGGTGCTGGAATTCGAACCTGGGTCGTCTGCAAGAACAGTGTTCCGCTGAGCCATCTCTCCAGCCCCACAACTTTCTTTTATATTTATTTTTGTTCTTTCCCATTTTCTGTCATCATCTGTTTTGTTTCTGTTTTTTTCTTTTTTGGTCTTTTTGAGACAGGGTCTCCCCGTAGCCCCAGCTGTCCTGGAACTCACTATGTAGACCAGGCTAGTCTTGAAACACACAGATCTGCCTGCCTCTGCCTCCCAAGTGCTGGGATTAAAGACATGCGCCACCATGCCTGCTTAAAGGAATTTTTTATAGAAGAAAAAAAAAAAAAGAAATATATCCATGCTGGTAACGTATGGCTTGTTTTCTGTTCTAATATTGAAAGATTTTTTTTTTTTTTTTTTTCTTTTTGAGACAGGGCTTTCCTGTAGACCCAGCTGGCCTGGAACTCCCTATGTAGACCAGGCTGGCCTCAAACTCACAGAGATCCGTCTGCCTCTGCCTCCTGAGTTCTGGGATTAAAGGTGTGCGTGTGAAAGAAACTAATTCTTAGGGACAAATTCTTCATATTTCCTTAAGACTATTACAGTGACAAAAGTTATGTGAAAGAAAGCTTTGGAGTTCTTTTTCTGTCGGTTTGGTCTTTTTTTTGAGACAGGGTCTTCCTGTAGATCCAGCTGACCTGGATCTTACAAGTAGACCACGCTGGCCTGGAACTCACAGAGATCCACCTGCCTTGGCCTCCCAAGTGCTAGTAGTATCAAAGGCATGCACCACCACACCTGGGTATGTGTGTGTTTTGAGATAGGGTCTCCTGTAGCCCAAACTCGCCTCAGATTTACTATATAGCTGAGGATGACTTGAAACCTCTCCTCCCGCTGCTGCCATCTGAATGCCAAGATTACAGGCATGGTGGCCCACACTTGGCTTTCAAAAGTACCATTTTGTTCTTGTTTCCTTTTTGAAATATCTAAGCTATTATAATTGTATTAAAGAAAAATAAGCTTGTTGCATGTTACACTTAAATTGTTTTTAAAATCTCATTATTTCATGATGGACATGATATACAGTGTCATCTTTTTAAATATTTATATATGTGCCTTACTCAGCACATGTGTCAGAGGTTGTTAAGGACATTTGCTCTTGTTAACAGAGGAGTACTGTTTGAAGACGATTGGCTGTGTGTGGTCTGTGACTCTGAAACAATGAAGTTAAAAGGCCACAGGGAATTTAAGCTATGAGGTCTGCATTTTTCACACGTTAATGTGTTCTAATTGAGTTATTAATTGTAGCCAGAAAAGTACCTTGCCTGTTATCAGTGGTCAGTTGACTGTTCTCCAAGGTATTTTTCCTCTTGAAATACTTATCACATAATGTAACAACCTTCCCTTCTAGAGTTCATGCCATGCACATTGCATTTACTTTCTAGTCTTGTGAAGTAATATTTCACTATTCCCTTTAGCTTTTGCATTAAAAATTAAGCGACAGATTTGAAAAAAGAAACCATGAGTCATTGGGTTAAAGACCTAAATAGTGCCATAACTGTCTCTGGGTTTGTCTCCATAGGTGGATGTATTAAAATAATGAAACCACATATTTACTTGATACCTAACTGTTCAAATGACTTTTGTTTCATGTTATCCTTCATTAAATCATAAATCTTTCAAGAATGACCAATCACTGTAGAAGTTTTAATATCCTTTAGAGTAAATCCAATTTGCTTTGCAATTGTCCAGATGTTTCAGAAAGAACAAGTGGATCCTCTTCAGATGAAATTGCAGCAGGTGAATGGACTTGGCCAGGGATTAATTCAGAGTGCAGGAAAAAACTGCGACGTGCAGGGTTTAGAACATGACATGGAAGAGATCAATGCTCGATGGAATACACTGAATAAAAAGGTGAGTGCTGAGGAAGTAACAAGATTGCTGGGACTGGGAGGCATAGAACAGAGACATCTAAAGCTGATGTTTTCCTGGAACCTAAATGCCAACAAAATTTAGCTGTTGTGATCTATAATTACTAAAAAGACCAGTAGTAATTTAAACACGGCCCTCCTTTCTCATAATGAGTTTCTATGACACAGGTGGCACAAAGAATCGCACAACTACAGGAGGCTTTGTTACATTGTGGGAAGTTTCAAGATGCCTTAGAGCCATTGCTTAGCTGGTTGGCAGACACTGAGGAGCTCATAGCCAATCAGAAACCTCCATCTGCTGAGTATAAAGTGGTGAAAGCACAGATCCAAGAACAGAAGGTAAGTGGGAACTTGGAGACTGTGAATTGAAGCAGCCACAGAGTGACAGACAGCACACTTGCTTATAATTTAAGGAAGAAGTCCAGAGTTTTAGTAGAACCTTAACCTATACTGTGTCCTCCTAAAAAGAAAGGTGGACATTTTCATTATTTTATTTTACTCCATTAGTGTACTGTGGCATATGTTAGACTGAGAAAGTTTACTTATTCCTATATCATGTTTTAGGCTCAGCAGTATTCTAAATAATAGTGTTTATCTTGTATGAATTGTCTGTATGTTTTGTTTTGATTTTTGGTTTCTAAAAAAAATTTTTTTTTAATTTTTATTTTATGTGTATGAGTATTATGCCTGCATGTAAGTAAGTGCACCCATATCGTGCAATGCCCAGGCACGACAGAAGAGGCTATGGGATCCCCTGGAACTGAAGTTACGGGCAGTTGTTAACTGCCATGTGGATGCTGGGATTCAAACCCTGGTCTTCTGCAAGAACAGTCAATGTTCTTAACCGCTGAGCCATCTCTCCAGCCCCTCTAAAAATATTTTTATTGGCCAGGCATGGTGGCACACACCTATAATCCCAGCACTTGGGAGGCAGAGGCAGACAGATCTGTGAGTTTGAGGCCAGCCTGGTCTACATAGTGAGTTCCAGGATAGCTAGGGCTATAGGGAAACCCTGTCTCAAAAAGACAAAAAAAAAAAAAATTTATTGGTATGCATTAATTATACATATTAATGGGTTTCATGACTTTTTTTTTTTTTTTTTTTTTTTTTTTGTCTTTTTGACACAGGGTCTCCCTGTAGCCCCAGCTGTCCTGGAACTCACTATGTAGAACAGGCTGGCCTCGAACTCACAGAGATCCGCCTGCCTCTGCCTCTCAAGTGCTGTAGCTAAAGGCATGCACCACCACGCCCAGCCTTCTTTCTTTTTTTTATTTATTATTTTTATTTTATGTGTATGCATATATTGCCTGCATGTAGGTAAGTGCACCTGTGTCGTGCAGTGCCCGCAGAGGACAGTAGAAATTATCAGATCCCCTGGAACTGGAGTTATGGACAGCTGTTAGCTGGCATGTGGGTGCTGGGATTCAAACCTGGGTCTTCTGCAAGAACAACCAGTATTTTTAACCGCTGAGCCATCTCTCCAGCCCCCATTATGATGTTTTCATTCATGTACATAATGTATTTTGAACATATTTGCCCTTCATTATCTTCTCTTATCCTTCTCCCTCTGATCCGTTCTTCTTCCCAACTAGCTGTCTTTTTGGGGGGGTGGGTGTGATTTTCATTAGGATTGTTTACAGGCGCATGGGGGTACCTTGCCAGTGTCTATACCACTGAAGAAAATATCTCTCATTCTCCCATCAACTGTTAATTATATAAAATCTTCAGGAAGGGATAGGGCCAATGAGCCCCCTCTTCTATGACAGAAGGTTTAAGAAGCCAATCTTATGCACATCTTGTGATGGTAATCACAGCTGCTGAGAGTTCAACAGTAGTATCTTATCTTAAAGTTAGGCCCACCCCTTCTCTGGGATTCTTTCTGTCTTTTCTTCCAATGTTCCCTGAGCCTTGAAGGTAGTGATATAGATGTCTTATTTATGGCTTGGCATTCAACAATCCGTTTTTCTTTTCTGAGTCAGAGTCTGGTGTAGCCTAGGGCAGCCTCCAACCTGCTATGTAGTTGAGAATGACCTTGACTTTCTGATCCTCCTACCTCTGTCTTCCAAGTATTGAGATTATAGCAGTGCTGGGGATCAAACCCAGGGCTTTGTGCATACCAGGCAAGCACTGTACCATCTGAGCTACATCCTTAGCCCTCTATATTTTTGCTAGTTTAATTTCTAGTTCAGTGCATTTTTCTTTTTTAAAAAAAATAGTGATCCTGAAGGCTTGGTAGCACACGCCTTTAATCCCAGCACTCAGGAGGCAGAGGCAGGTAGATCTCTGTGAGTTCAAGGCCAGCCTGGTCTACATAATGAGTTCCAGGACAGCTGGGGCTACAGGGAGATCCTGTCTCAAAAAGACCAAAAAAAAAAAATATTGGTCCCAGCATTTGGGAGGCTGAGACAAGAGGATTGCTGACAGTTCCAGGCTAGCTTTGATTACATAGTATAGACTTTGTTTCAAAAAAACAAACAACACCACCAGGAGGCAGAGGCATGCAGATCTCTGTGAGATCGAGGCCAGTCTGGTCTACATATCAAGTTCCAGGTAGGCTTGGACTAGGGAGACCCTATCTGAAAAAAAAACACATATCCAGGTACAATGATATATGCTAGTGAAAATTTTTTTAAGAACCATAGTTGTACTGAAGAAAAAATTTTTCCTAGTTTTAGTGAGGTATAATAACAAATGAGATTATGTATATTTGTAAAATATACACAAAGTATACAAACATATAAAAATATATATAAAGGTATATATTTACAAAGGTGCAATATGATATTTTGATGAAAATATATATATATTCATCAAAAATTTTTTTGGGGGGCTTCTTTTTGAGGCAGGGCCTCCCTATAGTTACAGCTGGCCTGGAACTCACTGTGTAGACCAGGCTGGCCTTGAACTCACTAAGATCCACCTGCCTCTGCCTCCCGAGTGCTAGGATTAAAGGCATGCGCCACCACACCCAGCAATGAGTATATATTTTGAAATGGCTGCCTTAAGTTAATTAACTTTTTATCATTCCATATACTAATGATTTTTCTTTGTACTTATCTCTGAATTCAAAGGAAGTTACCTGTCAATTACATAATTACAACCATGGCTTTATTTAAAAACTAAGTGTATGAAAGTTTGTGAAGGCAGTAAGAATTGTATTGTCACATGCTTTTGCATCAAGAATATATTGTTCAAAGAATTTGCTTCTGATTCAGCAAGATGTGGTTTTTTAGTTTTCCTTTCTGTGTCAGATATTTTAATGACCCTGTACTACCACTTTCCTTTTTCTTTGAACACAGTTGCTTCAGCGACTCCTAGATGATCGGAAGGCCACAGTAGACATGCTTCAAGCAGAAGGAGGCAGAATAGCTCAATCAGCTGAACTGGCTGATAGAGAGAAAATCACTGGGCAGTTGGAGAGTCTTGAAAGCAGATGGACTGAACTACTAAGCAAGGCAGCAGCCAGGTAAGACCAGGGGTTTGTTTTGTCCTGTGTTTGAGTATTGCCCTGGCAAGTGCTTTATAAGCTCTTGGAAAATTCATGTACTGCTCTGGAAGATGTTCAGTGGCTTTTATTGAAGAGTGATAAGTATTTAGAGCTGATCCTCAACCACAGTCACCTCAGGAATTGATCTTTACTTACTCATAAATTCTGAGAACTGGAAGACTCACTGATCTGGGTGGTGGTTCTGCTGCAGTGTAATCACAGGTTCAAACAACAGGTGCAGACTCCTGCAATCCAGCCAAGTCATTTTTTGAGTTTTTGAAACAGATTTTTTATTCCTTTCATATTTGTAACTAATATGTGATATATTTTCTGTTTATGCTGATATTTGATGTTTTTGTATCTAGAAGCTAGTCTGTGATATTAAGTATATGGGCATTGAAGAGATACATGGGTATTTTCAATTAATAGACAAAAGATAGACAATACATTCCTCCCTCTAAGGAAATACATTCTCTTTCCATAAATAAGGCTTATGTCCCTTACAAGTCAGAGGTATGCCTTTACTTTTAATTTACACTGCCCCATTTTTAAAAATAAATGTGAGCTAATCAGTAAGAGAGTAGTACAGATGATCATATATTACATCCTTTGACATTTTTAGGTAGCCAGTGCAGTCTTCGGAGAAGTACTTCATCATCTCTTTACTTCTCCTCACGCATGACTTGTTTATCTTTCATCTGAGTTGCCAAGTATGGCTTGTCTATATTAGTGAGAGAAACAAAATTAAAATGATTTTACTCTTTCTTTTTTTTTTTTTTTTTGGTCTTTTTGAGACAGGGTCTCCCTGTAGCCCCAGCTGACCTGGAACTTGCTATGTAGACCAGGCTGGCCTCGAACTCAAAGAGATCCATCTGCCTCTGCCTCCCAAGTGCTGGGATTAAAGGCGTGCTCCACCACACCCAGCAATTTTGCTCTTTTTATTTCTATTTTTGCACAGTTTCCCCATCTCCTTTATTCTGTCTTTCCATTTCCGTTAATGTTACCGTTAATCTTAAAGCCTTAATCTCACCTTTACTCTTTCTCATACTTGATGTCTACATGTATCAGGAAGCTAAATCCTATACACTCTACACTATCTAGCCCGACCATCTTGTTCTTTGGTTCCCATTGTTCTTCCTTATTTCATGACATGCGAGCTCTCATTGGGGCTTTTGAGGTACCCTCTTACTAATGAAGTTTCTGCCACTTACTCTCAGGCTTTTCATTCTTCTCAACCCCTAACATTGGGTGAACCTTTATCATGTACACCTCGGATCATACCTTAGAGTCATTTAAAAACACTATATTTATTATTTTTATTCTGTATATATGAGTGTTTTTCCTGTATGTATCTAAGTGTCCCTGTGTTGTGCAGTGCCCTCAGAGGCCAGAGGAGGGTGTCGGATCCCCTGGAACTGGAGTTAGGACAGTTGTTAGCCGCCATGTAGGAATCAACCTGGGTCCTCTGCAAGAGTAGCAAGTGCTCTTAACTACTGAGCCGTTTCTCTGGCCCCAATCATCACTGGCTTAAATTTTTTTATTTTGAGAGCTGGGTGTAGTGGTGCACACCTTTAGTCCCAGCACTGGGGAGGCAGAAGCAGGTGGATCTCTGTGAGCTCAAGGCCAACCTGGTCGACATAGTGAGTTCCAGGTCAGCTGGGGCTACAGGGAGACCCTCTCTCAAAAAGACCAAAAAAAATTTTATTTATTTATTTATTTATTGTGAGGCAATTGTGTGTGTGTGTGTGTGTGTGTGTGTGTGTGTGTGTGTGTGTGTGTGTGTGTGTGTGTGTGTTTGTTTGTTTTGCCATTACAGGGCTCAAACCTAAGACTTTATGCGTGCTAGTCAAGCACTCTACTCCCTAGCTACATCCCCCAGCAGTCCTAGGCCCTTTTAAATAGCGTATCATTCACTCTGTTCCTAGAAATCCAAACTCAGCATTATGACCTTTCATTATTATGAACTGTGCTTATACAGTTCCATGGTTATTTCCTAGATTCTTCTTTCTAAGGCCTGCTTCCTTTCCCCCTTTGTAATTTGATGTTAATAAATAGCATACTTGAAATTCAAGCTTAATATGAATATTATATGAGTTCAGATTCCAAATTAACTGTAAAGTCTCTAGTTTGCCTGCTGTTTATGTTGGCAAATTCACCCAGTTTGAGGGAGTTTTATGTTTTTTGCCTCAAATCTGGATTTATAGTTAGGTTCTGAGCTTGAAATTGCCAGATAATCAGATTTTTTTAAAGCTGGAGAGGGAGTTCTAGTTCATAGAACTACATTTTCTTGGTCTTCAAATATTCTCTTCACTCACATGCAGAGATGATAGACTCTAGATGGGTGGTTTTGATTCCTCTGCATTTTATTATGGCCATACGATACAATATGATATATGTGTTCTATATTCCATTTTGATGTGTATCAAGGTGGTCTCAGGAGGAGTGCTAAAAGAGCACTCATTCTGCTGTTACTCTGGAGAAATCTTTGTTTAAGTCATCGGGGATGGTGTTCTCTTTTATAATCATAGGATAATTATCCTGCCCACCTTACAAAAGATGAAAATTTTAAATGTGAAACTGTTGACATCTGTAAAGTATTGCCTAATAATGTGTGTCCTGTTTACTGTTGGTATTAAACTATACCTAGGAAAGACTATTCTTTTATTGAATTTAATATTATTCTGAGTCATTATGTGATTTTATGCCTGAGCAACCTGTTCTGTGTATTTGTGTAGGCAAAAACAGCTGGAAGATATCTTGGTTCTGGCCAAGCAATTCCATGAGACAGCTGAGCCTATTTCTGACTTCTTATCTGTCACAGAGAAAAAGCTTGCTAACTCGGAACCTGTTGGCACTCAGACTGCCAAAATACATCAGCAGATCATTCGGCACAAGGTAGGATGAAGTTATGGCAGATAAAGCACAGAACCGGAGAAGTGGAAAACTAGGGTTCCAAAAGATGTGTTATGGAGTTTTAAGTTTAAAATAACGTTGACTTATTAGTTGGAAAAGACTACTAATAGAGAAAGCAGCTTATGTGCCACTTTTAAATATTATTTTTACCCTATAGTAGTGATTTTTTTTTTATTATTTAACTCATTATTTGTTCATTGTTCCATGTTTGCCTCTCATTTACTTTGTTTTTGTTATTCTTTTTTTTTTTCCAATCTGGATTTTCAGGCTCTGGAGGAAGAAATAGAAAACCATGCAACAGATGTGCACCAGGCAGTCAAAATTGGGCAGTCCCTCTCCTCCCTGACATGTCCTGCAGAGCAGGGTGTGATGTCAGAAAAGCTAAACTCATTACAGGCCCGATACAGTGAGATTCAAGACCGGTGCTGTTGGAAGGCAGCCCTGCTTGAGCAAGCACTGTTCAATGCTAGACTGTTTGGGGAGGATGAAGTGGAGGTGCTCAATTGGCTGGCTGAGGTTGAGGACAAACTCAGTTCAGTGTTCGTAAAGGATTACAGACAGGATATCCTGCAGAAACAGCATGCTGACCACCTGGTATTTGTGTTTTCATTTTTATGGTTATGTTACTAAATTATTTTGCCATTTTGTTATGTTTCTCTTCTTTTCCTTTTAATTTAATTTTTTTTCTTCATTCCATACACTTTTATGCCTAATCAATCACATAGTTGAATTGGTGCAAAGTACTAATCATTTTTTAATGGGTCCATAAAAATACTTGACTTTAACAAACTAAGCCAGTAATTCAGAAGATTATACAAGGTATAGTCACAACCTGTCTCACCTCCAACTTGTGGTTTATATCATTTGGTAGTATATCAGCAGTTTTCATTTGAACAAAGGTATAGGAAAGAGTATACTTTAATAAAACCCTATATAGCCAGGCGTGGTGGCACACACCTTTAATCCCAGCACTTGGGAGGCAGAGGCAGGCGGATCTCTGTGAGTTCAAGGCCAGCCTGGTCTACATAGTGAGTTCCAGGACAACTGGGGCTACAAGGAGACCCTATCTCAAAAAGACCCAAAAAAATAAAAAAACCGTATATAACTAAATACTACCAATATTCTGATTATGTTTTTTGTTGTTGTTTGTTTTTTGTTTTGTTTTTGAGACAGGGTCTCTCTGTTGCCCCAGCTGGTATAGAACTCACTATATGGACCAGGCTGGCCTTGAACTCACAGAGATCCTCCTGCCTCTGCTTCCCGAGTGCTGGACTAAAGGCATGTGCCACCATGCCCGGCTCTGATCATGTAGTTATAACTGTAGAATATTTTTGCAGTTTATATACTTAAATTCCATGTCATCTTAATTGAAGAATATACTTACTTCAGCTTATTTTTTTTGAAATCTCTTTAAAGATCCTGTGTTTATTTTTTAAAAAAAGGAAGGTAAAGCAATTTTGGAGAGAAGGTTCTCACTCTATAGCCCCAGCTAGCCTGGAATTGGCTATGTAGACTAGGCTGACCTTGATCTCAAAGAGATCTGCCTGCCTTTGCCACCCAAGTATGGGATTAAAGGCTTCTTCCAACACACCTGGTAAAGCAATTTTTTGAATAATAAAAGATACTTTTTGATTCATCATCTTCAAATATGGAGAAATTTTATCTGGAATCTTAATTAAGTCTTCCTCTTCTTACTGACTCTTGAATTTCTGTCTTTCCATTTTATTTTGGACATGGTAGTCTTTTTGCTACATCTTACTTCTACCTTACCTTTTTTTTTTTTTTTTTTTTTTTTTTTTTTTTTGAGACAGGGTCTCTCTGTAGCCCCAGCTGTCCTGGAACTCACTTTGTAGACCAGGCTGGCCTTGAACTCACAGATATCTGCCTGCCTCTGCCTCCCCAGTGCTCTAGTGCTGGGATTAAAGGCAGGCACCACCATACCTGGCACTTTGACCTTTCTTGATTCAAGTTTGACACCAGTAGATTGGTTAAGATGATTTAATCCTAAAACTTTAATTATTTTTAATCTTTTTGAGACAGGGTTTCTCTAGCCCCAGCTGGCCTGGAACTCGCTATGTAGACCAGGCTGGCCTTGAACTCAAGAGAGATCTCTTGCCTCTGCCTCCTTAGTACTGGGACTAAAGGCATGCACTACCATGCCCAGCTTCAAATACCTGATTTTAAACTAAAGTGATACTCATCTCTTTAAATTTGATCCTTTAAACCATTCTCATTGTTTCCTTTCGTTTTGCGGTAGTTTTTAAATTAATGATAATCTTTTCTTTCAGGCTTTAAATGAAGAGATTATTAATAGAAAGAAAAATGTCGATCAAGCTATTAAAAACGGTCAAGCTCTTCTAAAACAAACTACAGGTACTTTGAAAAGTACACCTTAGCACATCTTGGTCTTTTTTTTTTTTTTTTTTTTAGACATGTTTATGAAAATTTACTTGGCTTTTTCTTTTTTTTCTTTTTTTTTTTTTTTTTTTTTGTCTTTTTGAGACAGGGTCTCCATGGAGCCCCAGCTGACTTCGAACTAGCTATGTAGACTATGCTGAACTATTTTTATGGGGCTTTTGGCTGCTCTAACATTCCCCCCTCTGAAGAGGTAACCCTAAAATCTTTTTTAAGGATTAGATACAAACTCCCAAATACTTTCAACATTTTTGGCCTTTGGAATAGAGTATGTTCCTAAGGGTAAAAAGACCCCAAAGAAAAGTAACCAGTTTCTTGGCTAAAACTCAAAATGTGTTTGGACATCTGTGGTCTTAAAGACAGTCACTTAGTACTCACTGATTATATTTACCATGTGCTTTAGGGAGACTGCTGATATGTATTCTTTTGCTGTTCAATCTTGAAAACTACCACACTTAGTTGTTTCACATCTGGTTATAGACAGTTGCCCCTGCCTTCTAGTACATTGAAACCAGCATTATCTGCAAGATGCTGCAAGCATCTACAGATACCTGCAGATCTCAATTTCAGAAGTAACTTACAAGTTGAAGATTATTTTTCAATTAACCCTCAGTTTGGGATGTTAGGTGAAGTTACTACCAGAGGGCAAGATCCGTGAAATTTAAGCTCTAATTTGAAGATCAAAGGGACAGTTCCATCCTGAGGTCTCATAAAAATGAATAATGGCATGCTGTTCTTCACAGGTGAAGAGGTGTTACTTATCCAGGAGAAACTGGATGGAATAAAGACGCGCTATGCAGACATCACAGTCACCAGCTCAAAGGCCCTCAGAACTTTAGAGCAAGCCCGGCAGCTGGCTACCAAGTTCCATTCAACATATGAGGAACTGACTGGGTGGCTGAGGGAGGTGGAGGAGGAGCTGACAGCTAGTGGAGGACAGTCTCCCGTAGGGGAACAAATACCCCAGTTTCAGCAAAGACAGAAGGTATGCCATCATTTCACATTGTAAAAGGGGAAAAGATTTTATCTTTGTCAGAATCATGGTTTTCACCTTTAAGAGTGTTTCTGGTCCAAAGAAGAAAGTTGAATTCCAAATCCCTAGGAAGTTTGCTTGCTGTGTAACATTGTATAATGTACCTTCACCATTTGTTTTCTAAAGGGGTGCCTAATTTGGAGGCAGGAAGGACATGATTAAGGTATTGGGAAGTGGACAGATAAAGTATGACATATGTATGAAAATGCCATAATGAAACCTCGAGCTCTCAGAGATCCGCCTGCCTCTGCCTCCCAAGTGCTAGAATTACAGGTGTGCACAACCACACCTGCTCTTGAAACCCATTATTTTAAATGTTAACTTCAAAAATTAGCTTGAAACATCTGATCCTCCTGTAGGATCTAGTACAGGTCTTGATGCACAGGAATGGTGTATAGGTATTTGTTAAATTAAATTAAATGTTCTTGGTTAAAGCATTGTTCATCATTTCCATTAATATAAGCAGTTTTTAAAAAAGAACACTATTTTACAAAACCACTAACAATCTGGCTTAAGTCTTGTAGACAGTTCTATGTAAGCAGCAGCTAAGCCTAAAGTCAGGCTTCAGAGTGATTGAAAAATGTGAGACAAGGAAAAAAAATAGCTCAAAGAAAGAGGTCAGTGCCCTGCTGGGATATGTGGTAGTGACAGCACTTTCCACCCAGCACAGCTGCTAATGTGCTTTATTTAGCAAGGTGTGGCCTGAAAACTTTTTCCCTCCTTAGGAATTGAAGAAGGAGGTTATGGAGCACAGACTGGTATTGGACACAGTGAACGAGGTGAGCCATGCTCTCTTAGAGCTGGTGCCCTGGAGAGCCAGAGAAGGACTTGATAAACTTGTGTCCGATGCCAATGAGCAGTACAAGTTGGTCAGTGACACTATTGGACAAAGGGTGGATGAAATTGATGCTGCTATTCAGAGATCACAACAGGTAATGTTTATAATACCCATGCATTAGTATTTTAGGCAATGGAGGATAGATATGTAGGGTATAGAACTATAACCTACATATGTACAGGCTCAGGATAGGAACATTGATATCAAAATAAATGCAACAAACATCCTTCACTAATGGGAATTGATTGGGAGGGGATTGTGAGGATGAAACCAGATTTGACCCAAAATACATGACCCCTTTGAATAGAGAAAAACTTACAGAAGAATCCTATGCAGAGCCTTTTCTTAATGATTAGGCCAACAGTGATGGGAATAGATATCTAGACTCAAAATGGCCAATGCATTGCAATCTTAGTTTGACATAATTAAACTAATTAACTGTCAACATTAGATGGAAAAGAAAGATACCAGGCAAGGTAGTGCACGCCTTTAAACCCAGTACTGGGGAGGCAGAGTTTCAGACTACTGGGGCTACCCTGTTTCAAACACCTTCCCCCAAAAGAAATTTTAAAAGGAGAGATGCTAAGAACTATAATCACTATAAAAATGCAATTCAAAGTAGCAGAGCCTTCCAAAATAGAATCCTTTCTATAAACACAGGTGTCATATTTCCCTTTTTTCCTTCCTGCTTTCTTGGAAGGGGCAAGGGGATATTTGCTTTTCTCTGTAGTTGGATATGTATTTTTTCCCCCTTTTTTCTTTTTTTTGAGATAGGATCTTCCTTTGTAACCCAGGCTGTCCTGGAACTCAAGCTCTTCCTTCCTCATCTCCTGAGGCATCACCGCCACCCCTGGCTGGTTATGCACAATAATGCCACAGCATAAGAAATGTGTTTCCTTGGGTTCATAATGATAAGTGAATACTTTCTGAACGATGGAGTATTTTTTGTTTGGGTTTTTGTTGTTGTTGTACTGATTCCAACTACATCCCTAATTTATCATTAGGATTATTCCTAATCATGACCAGCAGCTATTCCAGTGTACAAAGTGTTGTGCTTGGGAGACTTAGTTATGTCCCTTTCTCTCTTACCCCCATGAGACAGAACCTTATGTTTCCCAGGCTGGCCTCTAAATTACTGTCCTTTAACCCCTACTCCTTCTGCCTATTGAGTGCTATGATTAAAGGCCTTCTCCACCATGTCCTGTTCATTACTTTTCTCTTTAAATATACGTTTAGCATCCATAATCCAAAAATTTGAAGTGTTCTAAAATCCAAAGGATGCTCAACTAGTAATGTCTATATAAATACTCTAAAAGTTAAAATACTTATATTCCTAAGCATTTCCAATTAAGGGTACTAAACTAAACTTAGGTTAGAAAAGTTAAAGAAGCCAGGTGTGGTAGCATAAGCCTTTAATCCCAGCACTTCGGAGACAGAGGCAGAAGGATCTCTGAGAGTTTGAGGCCAGCCTAGTCTACATAGTGAGTTCCAGGTCAGCCAGGGCTACATAAGTGAGACCCTGACTCAGGAAAAAAAAAAAAAAAAGTTGAATATTAAAGATTAGAGAACCCTAATAATCAGCAGTCATACAGAGACTGTTCTTGATTTGTGTTATTGTATAGCCATTTAAAAGTTTGATCTTGCAGTTGGCCTGCATTTACATGCACACACCATATATAGACACTCATGCATACACATAATTAAAAATAATAAAAATAGGAGGGTGGAGAAATGGCTCACTGGTTAAGAACTGTTCTTCCAGAGAACCCAGGTTTGGTTCCCATCCCCCAGGTGGCAGCTAATAGCTATTCATAACTCCATTTCAGGGGATTTGATGCCTTCTTCTGGCCTCTCCGGGCAGTGCACAAATGTGGTGCACTTACATGCATGAAGGCAAAAGACTCATACATAAAAATAAAATTTTGTAAATTTTTGTAAGTTTGGTGTTCTTCTAGGGTCTTGTGCTTCTTGAGCAGAGCAGGTACTTCCAAGTCAACATTACTCAGCTATCTAGTGCCATTCTAAGTTTATATATAAACCTATATCTGGGCATGGTGGTGCACACCTGTGATCCCAGCCCTCAGTAGGCTGAGGCAGGAGGATTATCACAAGCTTAATGCTAGCTAGTCTTGGCTACCTAGGAAGATGCTATCTCAGAAAACAAATATAACTAAAGCTACCACTCTTTAGTGTTGGGATAAGAAGGGACTGGCAGAAAGAGAGTACAACTTCATTATAGCACCCTATTAAAAAGATTGTTTTTTTCCTCTTTTTTTTTGGTCTTTTTTGAGACAGGGTCTTCCTGTAGCACTAGCTGGCCTGGAACTTTGTGTAGACCAGGCTAGCCTTGAACTCACAGAGATCTGCCTGCCTTTGTTACCATGCCCAGCAAAAACAAAAAGTTTCTTTAAAGGATGCCATTTACTGCTGCTTCTAGCTGTACAACCAGCCCCCCTAATAGGTGCTGTCACTTTTTTTCTTAAAGATTTATTTGTGTTTGTATGTATGAGTATTTGCCTGCATGTGTATATGTGCACCACTTAAGTACCTAGTGCCCATGGATGTCAAAAGAAGGCATGAGATCCCTAGGAACTGCAGTTACAGATAGTCATGAGCTGCCATGTAGGTGCTAAGAACCAAACCCAGGTCCTCTGCAAGAGCAGTGAGTATTCTTAACCGCAGAGCTGTCTCTTCAGCCCTGGTAACTAATTTTGAAGGCATTGAATTCTAATTTTTCTACATCTTTTTGTTGTTCATAAATTTTTTTGAGGTTTTTGTTATTGTTGTGAGACAGGGTAGTCTGTGTAGCGCAAATTGGCCTCAAACTTTCAATTCTCCTGCTTCAGCCTTCCAAGTAATAGAATTACAGAGATGCACTACCACACCTAGCTTAAAGAATCCTGTTTTGTCATCCTTGTATACCTGTCCCTTCAACCCCACCTCCCAACCCTCCTATCCCCCCTCCCTTCATGGTACTGGGAATTGAGCCCGCAGCCTGGTGCATGTTAGGCAAGTACTCTACCATTAACTACATCCCTAGCCCTCTACAGCTTGGTTTGTAATTTTTGTGGAATTGTTTTCAGTTGACTTTATGAGATAACAAACTATATTTCTGAAAATCCACACCTTTCTGAGGCCTTGACTGTATGTAATGTGTTCATTTTTCTTCACTATATCTATTAGTATGAGCAAGCTGCTGATGCAGAACTTGCTTGGGTTGCTGAAACAAAGCGGAAGCTAATGGCCCTGGGTCCAATTCGCCTGGAACAAGACCAGACCACTGCTCAGCTGCAGGTACAGAAGGTGAGTTCCAGGCCAGCTGGGGCTACAGAGAGACCCTGTCTCAAAAAAACCCACAAAGTACTCACCATGTCACCATGTCCTGATGTCCTAAGAGTCATCAGTAGCTTCAGGTGATGAGGAGAGAGTTTCTGCCTATTCCAGATCAAATGGAATCATGGAAGATAGAATTTAATTCTATATATGATTGATTCGGGTGAGGACAATAATTTTTGTTTGTTTTGTAGAAAAGAATAAGTAGACCTATAAATCCAAGAAATGTCCTGGATGATTTAGAAGAGAAAATGTTTTTATGAACAATTAAAAAAATACTTCGAAAAGCAATTTTAAAAAAAAATATTTTAGGGGTTGGGGATTTAGCTCAGTGGTAGAGTGCTTGCCTAGCAAGTGCAAGGCCCTGGGTTCGGTCCTCAGCGCTGAAAAAAAAATTTTATTTATTATTTTTATTTTATGTGTATGAGTGTATTGCCTGCATGTATGTGAGTGCACCTATTTTGTGCAATGCCTCGGAGGTCAGAAGAGGGCTTTGGATTCCCATGGAACTGGAGTTAAGGATGGTTCGTAGCTGCCATGTGGGTACTGGGAATCAAACCCGGGTCTTCTGCAAGAGCAATTAGTGCTCTTAACTGCTGAGCCATCTCTCCAGCCCCTGAAACAGTTTTTTTAAAAAGAATAATTTTTTAAGTGTTTTTAAAGCAAGGACTTTTTCACACGTTCTTTTTTGCCAGTATAGGCTCAGGAGCTTTTCACTTCCTGACTTAATTGCAGTTTACTTTTCAAAGGCTTTTTCCATTGACATCATTCGACACAAAGATTCAATGGATGAACTCTTCAGTCACCGTGGTGAAATATTTGGCACATGTGGAGAGGAGCAGAAAGCTATATTGCAGGTAAGTTGCAGTTATTATTCATACTATTCTTAACATGGTACATTAGAAGTACAACTATAGAATAATGTTTTTAAATTGTTGTTGTTGTTTTCCCCTATTGGACCTTCTGATTACTGATGACTAGGGCAGGGCATTGTGGCACATGCCTGTAATCCAGCCCTCTGGAGACAGAGACAGATGTATCTCCTGAGTTCTGAGGCAGCCAGGGCTCTACAATGTGACCTTGTCGCTCACACACACAGATATACTCAATACATAAAGAAAGTATATGGTAACCACTATTTTCTCAAAAATAAATGGACTTGAGCTACTCATTCTACCTTTTCAACTATATTCATATTTTTCAAATTCTAGAAATAATGCATATATGTTAGGTAAATTTGAAAATTCGAATTATAATATAAAGAAGAAATTAAAAATCACTAATTAAATTTGTCCATATTTGTTAATATGTTCTAGACTTGGTTATGTTTTGTTTTTTATTTTATGTGCGTATGGTGTGTGCGTGTGTGTGCATGCGCAATTTTATGGGAGGTCTTCATAGCTGCATTTTTTTCTTAGAAAAAGCTTATAATAGTGATGCTTTTTTTATTCTTTATATTTTGGCTCATAGGATAAAACTGAGTGCCTAATACAGCAATATGAAGCTGTTAGCCTGCTTAATTCAGAGCGTTATGCTCGCCTAGAGCGGGCACAGGTCTTGGTGAACCAATTTTGGGAAACTTATGAAGAGCTCAGTCCTTGGATTGAGGAAATTCAGGCATTGATAGTACAGCTACCTCCTCCGGCTATTGATCATGAACAACTGAGACAACAGCAAGAAGAAATGAGAGTAAGAAACATCAATTTACATTTCACTTCAGAATGAAAATGGGCTATGAAATTTATTGAAAAACAAGGCTAGAGAGAAGACTCAGTGATTAAGAGCACTGGCTGCTCTTGTAGAGACCCAGGTTCAATTCCCAGCACCCACGTGGCAGCTAACAACCATCTGTAACTCCAGTTCCAGGGGATATTATGCCCTCATGTATGTTATGAAGTTAATTTCTAATCAGAATTTCCACAATGAAACTATATTTTAAATTCTCTCCATTTATTAAGAATTGTTTAAATAATAAGATCATAATTGTGTTGATAACCTGTCAGTCTAGGCATGGCAGTACATGCCTGCAATCCCAGCACTCTGGAAGTTGAGTTAAAAGGTAGCCTGAGCTGGGCGTGGTGGCGCATGCCTGTAATCCCAGCACTCAGGAGGCAGAGGCAGGTGGATCTCTGATTTTAAGGCCAGCCTGGTCTACATAGTGAGTTCTAGGCCAACTGGAGTTGCAGGGAGACCCTGTCTCAAAAAGACCAAAAAAAAAAAAAAAAAAACAAACCAAAAAAACCCCCCAAAAAACTAACTAGGACTCTGGTATAGCTCAATGATAGAACATGTGCCCAACATACACAAGGCCTTGGGTTTGGTCCCAGCATGTAAGAAGAAACAATAATTTAAAAATCAAGGAAAGTTAAAATATTTATGTGGATGGTAGGGCATGAGACTTACAGAGAAGCTGAATGGCTCTTTCATTTGATTCAAGTAAGAATTGCAAAAGAGTTATCAGAAAACATTGACTACATACATTTAATATGAAAGAAATTTATAGACATCCAATGAAAACTTACCATTAACAATGCTTTTATTTAAATGTTTACTTCTGGTTTATGATTTGTGCTCATTACTATTCCCATATTCCTTATTAAGTGAAATATATAAACTAGGCATAGCAGTAAAGTCAAGAATGATTGAGTTACTGGGTGATTGCTATTCATAAGTTATACTGCTTGGTGGCTCAGTGTGTTGTATAGACGGGTACTAAACTATATAAATATAATGTGATGCATACATAAAACATTTGCCCAGGAAGGTTTCCACAGTAACTAGACATCTGAGTGGCCTTGGGAAATTAAGAGAATTAGGTCGCATGATTGCCCAAGATGCCCCCCAGAATGATGAGCTACCAGAACTTGCTGGGTTTTAACAAATTCAGTCTGTTCTTCCCTAAGTTATTACCTCTGATCACAGTATCTCAGTAAACTAGTATAAACATGCTCATTTCTTTTGTTCTGTTTGGCTTTGTAACATGGATCTCACTCTGAGCCTCGTATTTGCTAGATGTGTTTTATACCACTGAGCTGTACTGCTGGCCCCACTCATTATGCTTTTTGTTGCTAGTTTGTTTGCACCACTCATATTTTAATTCATATTTATTCCCATAGCAACTAAGGGAATCCATTGCTGAACACAAGCCTCACATTGATAAGATACTAAAGATAGGCCCACAACTAAAGGAGCTGAACGCTGAGGAAGGGAAAATGGTGGAAGAAAAATACCAGAATGCAGAAAGCATATATGCCCAAATAAAGGATGAGGTACGCCAGCGGGCCCTTGCTCTGGATGAGGCTGTTTCCCAGTCTGCTCAGGTATGTGCGTATGTATATGTGTGTGTTATAACTCTCTACTGTCTACTAGTCTAAGGAAGAGGGCTCAGTGTCAGTTATGCTTCTGTGCATAGGATTATGCAGACCACCGTGTTGATAATACATTATCAGAGTAGGAAAGTTTGCCTTCATGTGTTCTCAGGCATGTTGGTATACTGACACCATGAAAGGTGAACTGTATCTTGACTGATATATGTAACTGTCTGTTGAGAGTTTCTCTGAAAATTTCATGTTGTCATAATACCTTTAGCAGGGATGACTACTTCAACAGAAATCAGGTTCCTATTGGGGCTATTAATGGTGAGATTTAGAACATTAAATAAGAAGCAGCCAAGTTTGTAGTTCAGAGAAAAGTATGCTTCCATAAGGAGAAGAAAACCAAAGGGAAGCATAAACCACCAGCAGTCTAATTTAAAGCATGTAACTGCATACTTTCCAACTAATATATTACTGGTATTGGTACTTTTGTCGTGTCTGGGTATTTTATTCCTGTGTTGAGTCAATATTCTTGGTTAATATTTGTACTTACTCAAGTTTTTCCCCCCCCATCCACCTTCCGTCCCATCTCACTCACATTGTGGATTGTGTTACTTTGTGTTGTTGCTGCCTGCTCCTGTCTTCCCCACATCGTCACATTTCATTGTTGTATTGGCTGCGCCCACCATTACAGATTACAGAGGTAAGGTACCCACCCCCATTGGCATTAGGGTGTTATAGAGCTGAAAATTGAGGACCTTGCCTATAAGGAGGTTTCTCTTAACTGTAGAAGTTTATTGTGAATACTTTCAATCTTTGGGGTAGAATCTAGAAGTAAGAGAGTGGTAAGAAACAATTTTGTTGAAGAAATGAGCATTTTATAATTACAGTTTTGTTATTCAGAGTACCAAGAAAGTGGGATGGTGATCATTTCTTTTAGAGCAAGGGTAGATATGGCCTTCCTTAATTATTTTTACATGCCAGCACTCCCTCTCTCATTGTTCCATATAGTGAATTGTTAAATTGCATGCAGATCATGCAGCATATTAAGTTCCCATCCGTTTACAAAGCAGTGGAAAGCATCTTAACTTGTTGGTCTAGTCTGTTGCATGCAACTGTCATCTGAGATGTTGATATACTGACTCTCACTAGTTTCATGGTCGTGTCCCTTTCTCTTCATACCAGTTGATTTTTGGTCTATTATTTAATAGTGCCTTTTTTCTTCTGATGAACCAGCCCTTGTGTACTATGTTCCAAATGGTCTTTTAGCCAAACCCAATACTCAATAGCCATTGAGCTAGGATGAAAATAGCCTATCCTAAACAGTTGATTTATACTTTGTCCTTATGCCCTAACATTTTCCCCAGTGTGACGAAATATTACTGTGATGACTAATATTCCAATGTTATTTAGTTCCATGATAAAATCGAACCCATGTTGGAGACCTTGGAGAATCTTTCCTCTCGCCTGCGTATGCCACCCCTGATCCCTGCTGAAGTAGACAAGATCAGAGAGTGCATCAGTGACAATAAAAGTGCTACCATGGAGCTAGAAAAACTGCAGCCATCCTTCGATGCCCTAAAGCACCGCGGAGAAGAACTCATTGGGAGATCTCAGGGAGCAGACAAGGATCTGGCTGCAAAAGGTGCTCGGTGGATCTAATTATTTTTCAAGAAAGTCAATAGAATAAACTCCAGGCTGTGGCTATCTCCAGCATCCTACCCAGATGTATTTTATTGAATATAAAGGCACTTCCAAAGTCATAAGTATTCCAGAAAGTCATGTGGAAGTCATTTAGAATTCAGAACACATTTTCCTATTGAAACAAGGTTACAATTGGTAGTTAGATTCCCAGACCAGAAAACAAATGCTCCTTTAACCCCTAATGTGAGTATCACACTATCAATAGTAGGCAGAATATAATTACCTTTTATAACACTTTCCATGGGAAATTCACAGAAAGTTTAATACAGAACACTAGAAGGAAGAGTTCCCATTTCAGTCTCTTTGTAAATTAAGGGCTTTTCTCTTAGCAGTACCTTTATATGAGATTTCCAAGTTAATTCTGTGGCCCCTTTATTGAGATTAAATGTTAGTGTAGAAATGGTAGTAGTAAAGCTAAGATAAGCTATCAGTTACAAGTTTTACATGATTTTTAAAATTGTTTCAATGAAAATGTCAGAATTAGATTCAATTTTGGTTAGAGGTCCTATTCACATCTCTTCTTTAATCCATCAGAAATCCAGGACAAATTAGATCAAATGGTGTTCTTCTGGGAGGACATCAAAGCTCGGTCTGAAGAGCGAGAAATTAAATTCCTTGATGTCCTTGAATTAGCGGAGAAGTTCTGGTATGACATGGCAGCTCTCCTGACCACAATCAAAGACACCCAGGATATTGTCCATGACTTGGAAAGCCCAGGCATTGACCCATCAATCATCAAGCAACAGGTTGAAGCTGCCGAGGTAAGAAAATATAGAACCCCATCTTATATGTGTGTCCTCTAGCAAAGCACTTTCTAAGGTTGGTTTGATTTAGTTTGAGTTTTGGTTTGAGGGTTTTAGTTTTGTGTGTAGTGTTGCTGTTGCCACTGTTTTTTTTCTTCTCATTTTTTTGTAATACTGAGTATTAAACCTGGGGTCTCATATGCTAAGCAAGTGCAGACCTCAGTCTCTTGAGTATATTGTGTTTAGCTGCTAGCCAAGCTGGATGCTTTAAAAGCTTTGGGGTTTTTTTTTTTTTTTTAAGGTAAGACTTTATTCCATTTGTAGGAAGGAGAGGAGGGATACACAGAAAATAAAAACAAAATTTGGATTCCTTATCCAGGGATAACAAAAATTACTTAAACATTGCCTCTTTCTAGTCTTTCTGGACAGGCGGTTTTTGTTTTAAGACAGGAGCTATGTAGCCCTGGTTAATCTGGAACTTGCCATGTAGACCAGGCTAAGCCTTGAACTCATGGCAATCTGCCTGTCTCTGCCTGCTGAGTGCTGGGATTAAAGTCATGCACCACCATGCCCACCAGGAGGCTAATTTTTACTGATTGTACTTTATATGGTAATTCATTTAGCACAAACAATGCCTATCTCGCTGTTTTATTTCACATACTTTTGTATCTCCCTCAGTGTCAGTCTGTGAATTATGTTTTGGGATATGGCCAAAAACTGACTCTGTTCAATATTTATATAGCCCAGCTGGGTTTGGTGGCACATGCCTTTAATCCTAGCACTCAGGAGGCTGAGGCAGGTAAGTTGCATTTGCAAAGTTTGAGAAGTTAAGTTCTACTTTGACTTATGTTCTGCTGCTTTACATGTAGACCATTAAGGAGGAGACAGATGGTCTGCATGAGGAGCTGGAGTTCATTCGAATCCTTGGAGCAGATTTGATTTTTGCCTGTGGAGAAACTGAGAAGCCTGAAGTGAAGAAGAGCATTGATGAGGTGTGGAGAATGGATAAGGATTCAGATGAAACATAGTGGGGTCAGACCAAAGAGTGGTATTAATAGAAGAATCTGACTCAATATTTTCCCCTAGATGAATAATGCTTGGGAGAACTTAAATAAAACTTGGAAAGAAAGACTAGAAAAACTTGAGGATGCCATGCAAGCCGCTGTGCAGTATCAAGACACTCTCCAGGTAAGAGGCTGGGAGATGCCCACAAAGGAAATACAGTTCTGCTTTCTCTTGGTCATTTTCAAAATTTGGTGCAAGAATGAATCCCCCTTAGTACTACACCATTTTGAAACCTGAGACAGTGTTGATTCCACATTTCTAGCCAAAATCTCTTGTTTCTGTTGAGTAGTATTGACATGACGTACATCCAGGTTTCAACTGTTACTGCTATTCTTATTGTCATTGCGTCCTTGCCATATTCCCACCCACTTAGCTGTGTCTTACTGTGTAAGTCACTGCTTGCTGGGGTTTTTAAACCTGGGTACTCATGAAGCCCAACAATGGCAAGGATGATGCTTATTCTCTAGCAACCTCATGTGATTTTATTTTTATGTGTTTGTGTTTTTATGTCAGGCTATGTTTGACTGGCTAGATAACACTGTGATCAAACTCTGCACCATGCCCCCAGTCGGCACTGACCTCAACACTGTCAAAGATCAATTAAATGAGATGAAGGTTTGTATCCAGGAACAGCTTTGAAAAGACAGATGCTTCTTTTTAGTATTAAAGACTTGGTTTGATATTAACATTAAGTACATCTTTGATAGGAGTTCAAATTAGAAGTTTATCAACAGCAGATTGAGATGGAGAAACTCAATCACCAGGGTGAATTGATGTTAAAGAAAGCTACTGATGAAACAGACAGAGACATTATTAGAGAACCACTGACAGAACTCAAACACCTCTGGGAGAACCTGGGTGAGAAAATTGCCCATAGACAGGTAAGGCAAATAGTACCATGAGTAAGTGAACCACCATCTACCCTTTTCTGATTTCCTAACAAGTGTTCCCATCTTGTTCTGAACAGCATAAGCTGGAAGGTGCTCTCTTGGCCCTTGGCCAGTTCCAGCACGCCTTAGAGGAACTAATGAGTTGGCTGACTCACACGGAAGAGTTGCTAGATGCTCAGAGACCAATAAGTGGAGACCCAAAAGTCATTGAAGTTGAGCTTGCAAAGCACCATGTAAGTATTTTCATCTCTAACTTTGTTGGTTTGAGACTAGATATTGCCAGAATTTCATGTGCACCTTAAGAAGCCAAGCTTAATTATATCCATAGAGATAAATTGTGTCATTCAAAATTTTTTAGGTTCTAAAAAATGATGTTTTGGCTCATCAAGCCACAGTGGAAACTGTCAACAAGGCTGGCAATGAACTTCTTGAATCTAGTGCTGGAGATGATGCTAGCAGTTTAAGGAGTCGTTTGGAAACCATGAATCAATGCTGGGAATCAGTGCTGCAAAAAACAGAGGAGAGGGAGCAGCAGCTTCAGTCAACTTTGCAGCAGGTGTGTGCATCATCCAAGCTAGGTAGGAAGAGCATTTGGAGAAGGCCTAAACCAGAAAAAGGAGCCATTTGGGGTAGAACCCTCTGTGAAACTTGTCTGAAAAGAGCAGCTTTTGATTGGGTGGTTCTTTTTGGATTTGTGGTTCAGTCTATTTGCTATTCAAAGTTAGTCGCTCTAATCAACCTTATTCAGAGATTCTGGTTTTTCCTATATGAAGTTCGGCCTCTCCCTAGTCCACAGTACTAGATTCATCAGATTATTATTGCCCGTCTTTATTGTGTTACAAGGAAGTCTGAAAGATTCTGCTGGATTCTAGCCTTTACAAAGCACATTGTACCGATCTAGCAACAGAACTACTCTAAGACAACACAGGGTCTTCATAGGATCATTCAGAAAGTTTGCCTTTGAAACTGAGAATTGCTTACTGATATTCTTGATATGTCTTTTTCTCAAAAGGCCCAAGGTTTCCACAGTGAAATTGAAGATTTTCTCTTGGAGCTCACTAGAATGGAGAGCCAGCTTTCTGCATCTAAGCCCACAGGAGGACTTCCTGAGACTGCTAGAGAACAGCTTGATACACATATGGTAACAGCAGTTTTTTCAGATTGAGCATAAGCATTCCATATTCAGTATAGCCTCTTTCTGAGAGCTGTGTATCTGGGAGATGTTACCAGCGGTATAGACAATCCGGGGCAGTGCTGCTCATCTACAGGCATTAATACCCTATGTGGGCAGCAGTGAAGGAAAGGGTCTACTGGAAAGGCACCAGTGAGCTGGTAAACTGAGTTCATTCATTTGGTAGGCACCAGAGTATTGACTAGAGGTGAAAACATTGCCAAGACAAATACAGAGCACGAATGTATTTGTATTTAATCAAGAGGCTTTCCTAGGCTTTTCCAAACAATGCTAGTGAATCTGTGTATGTAATGGAAGGTGTCTTACAGGGAATGAGTATTGTTGATTTCTTTCCTACCTTTTCTTACAGGAACTGTATTCCCAGCTGAAAGCCAAGGAGGAGACTTATAATCAGCTGCTCGACAAGGGCAGGCTTATGCTCTTAAGTCGTGATGATTCTGGGTCTGGCTCAAAAACAGAACAGAGTGTAGCACTCTTGGAACAGAAGTGGCGTGTAGTCAGCAGTAAGATGGAAGAGAGAAAGGTATTGACACAGAACATTGAGCACTCTGGTGATCATGCATAATTACCATCTTGGTTTTATGATGATTTTTTTTTTGGAGACCAGTATATTGCAGTACATTGCAGAACAGATCCAAATAATAATAATAATCCTAATAATCATCATAATAATCCTTCCTTTCTATTTCTATTTTCCATTGTACTGATGGTGTTGGTTTCTGTGATACTTTTTTTTTTTTTTCTTTTTTTGGTCTTGAGACAGGGTTTCCCTATAGCCCCAGCTATCCTGGAACTCACTGTGTAGACCAGGCTGGCCTTGAACTCACAAAGATCCCCCTGCCTCTGCCTCCCAAGTGCTGGGATTAAAGGTGTGCACCACCACGCCCAGCCAATACATTTTTTAATTGTTGCTTTTCCTACCTACCAATTAAGACATTATTGCTTATTACTGTTTAGTACTGGAATTTATATCTCCTATTAATCACCAGTTTGAGTTCCTACTTAAAAACAGATTTTCTAGGCTGGCTGTGGTGGTGAGTTCCAGGACAGCTGGGGCTACAGAGAGACCCTGTCTCAAAAAGACAAACAACCTCCCCGCCCCAAAAAAAACACCAGTTTTTCTGGAATTAATGATTTGGAATTGGGAAGACGGGAACAAGGGAATAAATTCCCTATAAGGAATTTTACTTAAAAATAAAAAAGACCTGGAGAAAAGTAAATTATATGACCTCATCCTACTATTCCTCAAAAACTGAGTTTTCAGGGCTGGAGAGATGGCTCAGCGGTTGAGAGCACTGACTGCTTTTGATTCCCAGCACCCACATGGTGGCTAACAACCATCTGTAACTCCACGGGCATTGCATGACATGGTGCACTTACATACATGCAGGCAATATACTCATACACACAAAATAAGAAAAGGTAATAAAGGATCAATACTTCTTTTCAAAAAAGATAATTTTTTTTTTATTTTTATGATTACAGAGTTTCATTCTGTTCTTTCCTAGTCAAGTGTAAAATTCACATACAAACTGTTGGTACATCCACTCAAATACTGAGGACATGTATGCTAAACTATGCTGGGTATTAGTAGAAAGAGTGAACAAGTGTACTCTATCATTTTGGAATTACTCTGCAGAAGAACACAAAACCTATTTACATATACAAATGAACATTTTCAGAGAAGCACTAATTTTGTAGAATCGTTCTAGTGCGGGTTTGGGGAATTTTGTGGATGTGAAAAATGTGCCAAAGAGCCTTGAATGTATGTATACCTATGTTCTAATTCTTGGACAGGTTGTCTGTTCCCTCAGAAGTAGAACTGAAACTAACTAGAGAAACTTAACCAGATTGCAACTCAGTGATGTTTCCTGACTGTGAAAGCCTAGCATTTGAAAGTTTGAGGCAGGTGGACTATAAGTTTAAGGCCAGCCTGGGCTATATAACAAGAAATAATCTGTTTCCAAAAACTAAAAGTTTCTTAATAATAGAATATGAAGTTGAGAAGATGGCTCAGTGGGTAAAGTGCTTATTACAAGCATGAGGATCTGGATTCAGATTTCCAGCACCTACGGAAAAGCCAAATAGGGCAGCATATATCTGTAATCTCAGCATTTGATATGCAGAGACAAATGGGACCTGGGGCCTTGCTGGCCAACCTGTCTAACCAGATCAGCAAGCTCCAAGGTGAGTGAGACTGTCTCAAAAAACTGAGGTGGAGAAATGACCTCTGGCATCCATTCTCACTCATATACACTTAAATTTTGGGGGAAAAACAATAAATAAACAAATCAAGCAAAACTTGATGTCAGTAGTTATTTCTAACTAGGGATGTTAGTGCATATCTCTAATCCTAGCACTTGGGCAAATTTCTGGGAGTTTGAGGACAGCCTGGTCTACATAGCGAGTTCCAGGCCAGCTAGAGCTACTCTCAATCAATCAATCAATAATAACTCTTTGTAAGCAAGACATATTTAGAGGTTGATTGAGTGTTCATCTCTAGAGGTCATTTAATTTGGTGTGCATTTCATATCTTTTTCATCAAAGGTATAATTTCTAAATTTGGCACTTTTTCTGTGTGTGTGTTTTGTTTAAAATTCAGTCAAAGCTGGAAGAGGCCCTCAGCCTAGCAACAGAATTCCAGAATTCCTTGCAAGAATTTATCAACTGGCTCACTCTGGCAGAGCAGAGTTTAAACATCGCCTCTCCTCCCAGCCTGATTCTAAACACTGTTCTTTCCCAGATGGAAGAGCACAGGGTAACTATGACCTAGAGCAATGTCACCTTACTTTTAAGGGTGACTCATGAAAGGGGTGCTTCTTTATCCTAGTTTATGTTTAGAAAAGCGGTATTTTTCCTACAGGTTTTTGCTAATGAAGTAAATGCTCATCGGGACCAGATCATCGAGCTAGATCAAACCGGGAATCAGTTAAAGTTCCTCAGCCAGAAACAGGATGTTGTTTTGATCAAGAATTTGTTAGTTAGTGTCCAGTCTCGGTGGGAAAAGGTTGTCCAGCGATCTATTGAAAGAGGACGATCACTAGATGATGCCAGGAAGCGGGCAAAACAAGTAAGTTATAGAAGACAACACTAATGTAGCCTGGGATCTCTGCAGTGATGGTCAAAAAGGACTTACATGGTTTGCACATTCATTCCTGTTGAAATTTATTTCTTATTTAGTTCCATGAAGCTTGGAAAAAACTGATTGACTGGCTAGAAGATGCAGAGAGTCATCTGGACTCAGAACTGGAGATATCTAATGACCCAGACAAAATCAAACTTCAGCTTTCTAAACACAAGGTAAATCAGTTAATTGCTGTTAAGCCCTGAGCTTGGTACGACACACTAAAGTTTGTAGGTTGCTGAAAATAGAAAACAGAGCCTGTAAAAACAAAATGTTAAAAAACCAAGGTGGGGCTGGGCATGGTAGCCTTTAATCCCAGCACTTTGGAGGCAGAGGCAGGCAGATCTCCGTGAGTTCAAGGCCAGCCTGGTCTATACAGAGAGTTCCAGGCCATCTGGGGCTGAAAAATATACCCAAAAATCAAAAACAAGTTGGGGCTGTGGATGTGGCTCAGTTGACTAGTTTTTGTCAAGCATGGTCGGGACCTTGGATTCAATCCCCAGCACCCCATAAACTGGCCATCATGACACATGCCTATATTCCTAGGAAGCAGAAAGGTCAGAAGCTCAAGGCCAGTCTAGTATAAGTGAGACCATGTCTCAAAAAAAAAAAAAAAAAAAAGCCAGACATGATAGCAAACACTTATAATTCTAGCACTCTAGAACCTGAGACAAGAGGAGTGAGAGTTTAAGAACAGCCTGGGCTACATCAAAGAGTTCCAGGCTAGCTTGAGCCACATAGAAGAAAAGATGATGATAAAACCAGGGTACCTTTTGTTTGTTTGCAGTATATGCCAAATTAAGGCATTCTCCCCCCACCCCTCTTAGGGGACTGGAGATTGAATTTAAGACCTCATGCTATGCCTGATTTGTTTGTTCTTCTGGAAACATAGGAATTTCAGAAAACCCTTGGTGGCAAACAACCTGTATATGATACTACAATTAGAACTGGCAGAGCACTGAAAGAGAAGACTTTGCTTGCTGATGATACTCAGAAACTTGACAACTTATTAGGAGAAGTCAGAGACAAATGGGATACTGTCTGTGGCAAGTCTGTAGAACGGTGAGCATGAGTGTGCCCCCACCCCCAAGGTCTGTATGGCTAAACTAAAATAATGACAAACAATATATCAGTAAGAGATTTTGAAACAAAAATAAATAAATAAATTTGGAGCTTAGTAACCCTTAAGTATTTGTAATCACCACTGCAAAGCCTCTGCATGCATTCAACCATAATAATCCCTAGCCTTCACTGAGCAGTTGCTATTAAATATGTGCATACAGTGCCTAGTTTTCATTGATCATAAAAACCAGTGAGATGGCTACTATTATTGGTCCCTTTGCATTGATGAGAGAGAAATTATAAAGAAGTTTCTCAGGGCTGGAGAGATGGCTCAGTGGTTAAGAGCACTGACTGTTCTTACAGAGGACCTGGGTTTGATTCCCAGCACCCACATGGCGGCTCTGAACCGTCCTTAACTCCAGTTCCAGGGGACTTCAAAGCTCTCTTCTTACCTCAGCGACATTGCTCGATGTGGGTGCACTCACATACATGCAGGCAATACACTCATACATGTAAAAGAAAAATAATAAGTAAAATATTTAAAAAAAAAAAAAAAAGTTTCTCAATGCCCACAGTTACTGACTGGTAGAACTGGGTTCTGAACCTGTGCAGTTTTTTTTACAAACTGAACTTTTTTGATGAAGCAACTGGAATTGAAAGAAGCAAAGAGAAGGCCCAGGGTCACAGAGTTGGTATAAAATCAAGAACTCATTACCAAAACTATCATTCCATGTTTGGAGTGCTATAATGTAATTAACATGGACCCTGGGTGGCTAGAGCATTAGATGCCTATAATGCATTCATACCTGTCCCCTGTACTGTACTTAATCCAGTCTAGAAAGGTTTGATTAAAATGTCTGGACACCTCTATCACTTTTTAGTCTATTTCTAACTGCTCTGACATGGAAAGCATCCTCTTTGTAGAGTTCAAGCAATATCCATTTTCAGTAGTCGTAATTGTAAGCCATTCCTTTTTTTTTTTTTTTTTTTTTTTTTTTTGAAGTTTCAAAAAATTCCTTTTTTGAGGACGTGATTTTAAGCCCCTTTTTTTTTTTTTTTTTTTTTTGTCTTTTTGAGACAGGGTCTCCCTGCAGCCCCAGCTGGCATGGGCCACCACACCCGGCAGCCATTCCTTTTTTAAAAATCCCTAAAGACACCCGTATGGTGTCACACGCCTTTAATCCCAGCACTTAGGAGGCAGAGGCAGGTGGATCTTTGTAAGTTCGAGGCCAGCCTGGTCTACATAGTGAGTTCTAGGACGGCTGGGGCTACAGGGAGACCCTGTCTCAAAAAACAGACACCCCCCCCCCAAAAAAAATCCCTAAAATCAATGGATTGTCTTTGTTTTTCTCAGGCAGCACAAGTTGGAAGAAGCCTTGCTGTTTTCAGGCCAGTTCATGGATGCTTTGCAAGCCTTGGTGGACTGGTTGTATAAGGTAGAGCCACAACTGGCTGAGGACCAGCCTGTGCATGGGGACCTTGACCTCGTCATGAACCTCATGGATGCCCATAAGGTGAGGGGTGAGATTGGGGCTTCATGGAAGGTAAAGCCATGGGGCCTTCTCTGTGTGTGCCTTCTGCTCTATGCCAGCCATCTAAGAGAAGAAAGCAAGCCTTACAGCCTGGGTCTCTGGAGACATGGCTCCTTATTTCTCTGTTTAAACCAACTTTTGCTGGGATTCTGTATCAGTAACAATGTACCAAAATTGGTTTGATTCAGATTTTGCAATGTGTAAAGGTTCCCCCTCTTCCTGTTTGTCTCTTCATTGAGTCACAAATAGAATTTAAATTTAGAGGGAAACTGTTAAGAAATCCATTTCCACTAACACCTAAAATGGAAATGGGAGATTTCTTTCTTTCTTTTTTTTTGTCTTTTTGAGATAGGGTCTACCTGTAGCGCCAGCTGGCCTGGCACTCACTATGTAGACCAGGCTAGACTTGAACTCACAGAGATCTACCTGCCTCTGCCTCCCAAGTGCTGGAATTAAAGGTGTGCACCACCACACCTGTCTGGGAGATTTCTTTTTAACCATTTTGTAAACTAATATGTCTAACATCATACCACCAATATATCCTTTATCTGTTGTGTTGAGGTGCATAATGTCCTCCTGTTCAGCACAAAACATTCAACTTCACAGTTATGTCACATTCCGTGCTTGCCACCAAGCCTAAGTTCAACCCTAAGATCCACATGATGAAAGGAGAGAACTGGTTCCAGAACAGTCCTCTGACTTCAACACGTGACTTCACACATACGTATAGAGAAAATAAGTGTGGGGCTGGAGAGATGGCTCAGTGATTAAGAACACTGAATGTTCTTGCAGAAGACCCAGATTCAAATCCCAGCACCCACATGGCAGCTGACAACTGTCCATAACTCCAGTCCCAGGGGATCCGACAGCCTCTTCTGTCTGTGGGCATTGCACGACACAGATGTACTTACCTGCATGCACACAATACATGCATACACATAAAAAAATAAAAATAATAGAATTTTTTTTTTTAAAAAAGGCAATAAGTATAACATACCACATTCTATGCTCTGCAGATGTGTTCTTATCTCTGGAGAAGTTGATAAAATTATTCCCTTTTTTTTGTCTTTTTGAGACAGGGTCTCCCTGTACCCACAGCTGACCTGGAACTCACTATGTAGACCAGGCTGGCTTCAAACTCAGAGATCACCTGCCTCTGCCTCCATAGTGCTGGGATTAAATATATGCCCCACCATGTCCAGCTAAATTATTCCCATTTTGCTGGAACTTGAGTTTCCAGAGTCACACAAGTTATAATGCCTGAGCTGACTGACATTCAGCCATAACTTCTAATTTATTTTTTTTTTCTTAAAGGAAAGTTGGAGTTTGTTAAGTCGAATATAGATTTAAGCATAGGCATTAGAGAGGAGGGTGCAGCCTCTCGAAGTCACTTGCTTGTTTTCTCTGATGTATCAGCCTTCCTTCCTCTGTGCATAAGTAGGACACTTGATGAGAACCTGCAAAGAAAAATACTTGCTCTTTGGTTACTCCTTATACCCAAAACATTTATTAGACAAACTAATTCTTTCCTTACCAGGTTTTCCAGAAAGAACTGGGAAAGCGAACAGGCACTGTTCAGGTCTTGAAGCGGTCAGGCAGAGAACTGATTGAGAACAGTCGAGATGATACTACTTGGGTAAAAGGGCAGCTCCAAGAACTGAGCACTCGCTGGGACACTGTATGCAAACTCTCTGTTTCCAAGCAAAGCCGACTTGAACAGGCTTTAAAACAGGTAAAGAGACATTTGCTAGGTCAACCCACGGCAGATCTAAGCAGATCAACCTTAGTTTCTTTATCAGGTCCACTAGTCTTGAAGTGAAAATAAAGTTCATAGTCTGAATGTTCTGCAAGACTTTTAATCAATCATATGTATAACAAGTTCAACTGGTTTTCAAAGATCTACTAATTAAATGACCTTTGACCTAGGTATCTTGTGCCTCTGTTAGTGTTTGGTCCTAGACCCATCTACCAGTACGATTTAGTGTCCATAACACCTCAGCTGTAGAGAGAGGCCAAATCTTTTGTGCTTGGTTATTTCAGGCAGAAGAGTTTCGGGACACTGTCCACATGCTGTTGGAGTGGCTTTCTGAAGCAGAGCAAACGCTTCGCTTTCGAGGGGCCCTTCCTGATGACACAGAGGCCCTCCAGTCCCTCATTGATACCCATAAGGTAATCCATCCCCAAGGTTCGGTGATCTGTGCTATCCACCATGGTGAGAATCACCCTACCACTAAAGGAAAGCAGCATCTACTTGGAAATCTCAGAGCACTCGTGAAAAGAAACTAGAGTGGGCTACCTGCATTGGTGACTCAGCAGGAACCAGAGGAACTGACTTGTGATTTTTATGATACCTTAAACATCAACATTTATTTTCATATAACTCACTCATTGGCTTTAAACAAGTAAAACACTATAGTATTCTAAAAGAAAATGCAGAACATTTCCCTGGTTGTTTTTTGTTGTTGTGTGTTGACTGGTTGGATTTTGAGACAGGGTCCACTGGTATTGCAGGCTACCCTTAAGCTCCCAAACTTCCAAGTACTAGGATTACATGTGTATGCTATCAAATCCAGCTCCATTCTTCTCACCTGCACATGTCTTTGTTTGACCTAGTTTTCAGCTCTGGTCTGATCCCTTAAAACCATTTTACAAGCTGCAGAATATATCATAGTATTTGGGGCCTCAGTCAGCCCTAATAAGGTAGGGCAATGTTTAATTTTCATGTTACCTACCCAGATAATTTTAGTCTTGGTTTTATCATTGCATTCTGTTGTGGAAATTTTAAAAATTGTGTTTTATAGCTGTCATCATATTTTTCCAAAATAAATGGTTTAAAAATATGAAAAGGATGGGACTAGAGAGATGGCTCAGCAGTTAAGAGCACTGATGGCTCTTGCAGAGGACCCGGGTTCGACTCCCAGCACCCACATGGCGGCTACAAACTGTCCTTAACTCTAGTTCCAGGGGAATCCAAAGCCCTCTTCTGACCTCCACGGCATTGTACGACACAGGTGTACTCAGAGCATATATGCAGGCAATATAGTCATACAAATAAATTAAAAATAAGAACGCACGCCTTTAATCCCAGCACTCGGGAGGCAGAGGCAGGGGGATCTCTGTGAGTTTGAGGCCAGCCTGGTCTCCATGGTGAATCCAGGACAACTGGGGCTACGGGGAGACCCTGTCTCAAAAAGACCGGAAAAAAAAAACCAAAAAAAAAAAACCAAATATTTAAAAAATGTGGAAAGGTGGCTCAGTGGTTAAAAGTTCTTGCTGCTCTTGCAGAGGACTTGGGTTCAGTTCCCAGCACACACATGATGACTAACAACCCTCCATAACTACAGTTCCAGCAGATCTGACACCTTCTGGCCTCTGGCATTGCATGCACATGGTGCACATACATGCCTGCAGGCAAAACACTCATACACATAAAAGAAAAGTCTTTTTAAAATAAATATGAAAATGAATACAAATATAAGAGAAAAATTGAGACTAGGAGCAGAGGGAGTAGGGACATACTTGTGTCCCTTTTTGTTGTTGTCTCTGGCAGATAGTCATTCTTAGATACACCTCTCATGTTCCCACATCTTTTAGAACTGGCTAGAAAATATCAGAGACACCTAGATAGAGGATTTTGAGAGAGGTCTGTGCTAACACAGGAAAAAAGAAACACTGAAAATTTTCTCCTTTCAGCATAAACTAATGGCGCTGATAAAGTAGATTTCTCAAGTTTTTGGTTTTGGCTTTCGTTTAGGAATTCATGAAGAAAGTAGAAGAAAAGCGAGTGGATATGAACGCAGCAGTGGCCATGGGGGAAGTCATCCTGGCTGTCTGCCATCCAGATTGCATCACAACCATCAAACACTGGATCACCATCATCAGAGCTCGCTTTGAGGAGGTGAGTTGCCACATAACCAGTAAATAAGCTGGAATCACAGTGAGCAAATACTGTAGAACTTTGTTTTCAGATAAAGAACTTTTCGTTCATTAAAACCATCTCTAGGCTGGGTGTGGTGGGGCATGCCTTTAATCCCAGCATTTGGGAGGCAGGTGGATCTCTGTGAGTTTAAGGGCAGCCTGGTCTACATAGCAAGTTCCAAGCCAGCTGGAGCTACAGGGAGACCTGTCTAAAAACAAACAGGAAAACCATCTCTAAAATTATATTTCAGTAAAGACACAGTGGTATAATGTGCAAGGGTAGTGCTTGTGTGATGAGGGTTAGTAACTTCTGATCATTGTGTTTTGCTTCCTTCCTTTGTAAGAAGTCTGTGTTTAATAGAATGCGCTAGATTGGCTTTAGAAAAGATGGTTTCTTATTCTACCTCTCACTGGAGCTTTTTCAGCTGAGGTCGAGAGAAACCACCTACGGAGTCTGATCAGATAGAATGGAGACTTTAAAACAACAAAAATGTGCTTTTCTGAAAGAACTCATGGTTTCTTCTTCACAGGTCTTGACATGGGCAAAGCAGCACCAGCAGCGCCTAGAAACAGCCCTGTCAGAACTGGTGGCTAATGCCGAGCTTCTAGAAGAACTTCTAGCATGGATCCAGTGGGCTGAAACCACCCTAATTCAGCGGGATCAGGAGCCAATCCCTCAGAACATTGACCGAGTCAAAGCCCTTATCACTGAGCATCAGGTACCCTAAACTCCCTGATGTTTCCTGTGTGGTCATGGAGTCCACATTCCCTTTTCCCTGTGAATTCCTTTTTGTTGCTACTGCATATACTACTACAGACTTAGCAGCTTTGAAGAACACACAATTTTCTTACAAGTTTTCATGGGTCAGGAATTGGAGCATGAGTTGATACCTTAAGATTTCATTAGACTTAGATTTCAAAATTTCCTCCAATGCTGTCTTTCCTAGTTTTTCATAGTGCTAAGGATTGAAATGAGGGCCTTAGGCCTATTAGATGAGGACTCTACCACTGAGCTACATCCCCAGACAGTAGTTCTGCAGCTCTCATGTGGCTCCTCCCCCATGCTCCTTTGTTTGGTGGACAGAATTCAGTTCCTTGCAGTTGTGGGATTAAAATCTCCATTTCCTTACTAGCCCAAGCTTCTGAAGGTCACTCTGAGGCCTTAGCCATGTGGAGCACTCTAATTTTATTTCCAAAACATCCACAGTTTTATATGATGAGGTGTAACCAAGGGAGTTGAAGAGGAAGAATTGCATGGGGCATGTGCACCAGGAGTGGAAACCTTGGGGGCCAACTTGGAAGTCTGCCCTTTGATGGAGATGAAGCCTATTGGCTTGACAACTAAAAAAGAGCTCTTGCCTGAGTCCAGAGGAGAGGGGCTAAAATGATATAACAGACCAAGCTAAAGGAAGGAAAGCTCAGTGGAGTTATCTTGATACTCCTTATATCCAGAGTAGGCAAGCATGGCTTTTAACCATAAGTCTTTGCAGTGAATGCAAACATAGATCTTGTGTAGTTATACTTTTGAACAGTATGGCCTTATTGTTCAAACTCCCTGTATAGCCAAGGATGATCTTGAACTTCTGGCCCTCTTGTCTCCCCCATCCAAGCACTGAGATTACAGACATGCCTGGTTTATGCAGAACCCACTCCGTGCAGTGCCGCGGAGGTCAGAAGAGGGCTTCGGATTCCCCTGGAACTAGAGTTAAGGACAGTTTGTAGCCGCCATGTGGGTGCTGGGAACCGAACCCGGGTCCTCTGCAAGAGCAGTCAGTGCTCTTAACCGCTGAGCCATCTCTCCAGCACCCTCAGCCTGCTTTCTTAAACAACACAGGACCACCTGCCTGGGGTCGGGGCACAGTGAGCTAGGCCCACCCACATCATTCAACAATCAAGAAAACCACACAAACAAGGCCACAGGCCAATTTAATAAAAGCAGTTCCCCAATAGAGATTCCCTCTTCCCAGGTATGTCAAGTTGAAAACTAAAGCTATCTAGTACAGATTCCTTGCCTGACCACTCCCTTCCAGATCTACCTCCTGTTTGCTCTTTCACTCAGTCCCACTATATAGAAACCTGTAATATATATGCAGGACCCCTTTCTTCTACTCCATACACCTAGCCTATCCTAATTTCTTTTGCATTGAGATAGGATCTGGCTGTGTGGTCTAGGCTGACCTTGAGCATGTGATTCTCTGGCCTCAGTCTCTCAAGGGCTGGGACTACAGGCTTATGCCATCTCCTATTTTCACAGTACCTCTCTTTATTTTCTTTAACATTTATTTGGTGTTTGTTTGTTTTGGGGGGTGGGTGGGTGGGTATGTACATGTGTGGGCATACACATACACAGCATGTAAGTGTGGAGGTTAGAGGATTGCTTTTGAGAGTCACTTCTCTCCTTTCACCATATGAGTTCCAGGGATCAAACTCTGGTCATTAGACTTGGCAGCAAGTGACTGCCTCCCAAGCCATCTCAGTGACCTCTCAAAATCCCTTTGCCTAACACAGTCTTTTCTAGATATCCTGCCTGCCCCTCCAGCACCATTTCTTTTGGCTCCTTTGATTGTACCCTCTGTTTGGCCAGTGAGAAGAAGGGTCCTAGTCTACAGTTGTGTCAGGCTTCCAGGCTGTGTCCTCTGCCAGAACTGTCCTTTCCCTTTCTTCTCAGCCTTGGCCTCCCAAGTGCTGGGACTACAGGTATGAGCCATCATGCCTGGCCTTTCCCCATTCTTGAATTCTTCATTCCTCAGTAACTCAGCTCCAGGCTGTTTCCTTTGTCACTTCAGGCTGAAAGGTATTTGTCTTAGGTCTTCTGGATAACTGTATAGCATTTAGTATTAAATTACTCGTTTTCCTCACTCAGCTCTTGAATTTCTTGAAGTCATAGGCCATATCTTCCTACAGTACCTTGTTCAGTCTTTTTTTTGCTGGGGGGTGGGGGTAGAAGGGAAATTGAACCTAGGGTCTTGGATATGCTCAGCAAGTGGCTTTACCACTGAGCTACACTCCCAGCCCAATTTTAATCAGTTTATGTTAGTAAGAATTTGCCTGTTTCCTTTTGAGACAGGGTCTCCCTATAGCTCCAGCTGTCCTGGAACTCACTATGTAGACCAGGTTGGCCTTGAACTCACAGAGATCCACCTGCCTCTGCCTCCTGAGTGCTGGGATTAAAGGCGTGCACCACCACACCCAGCTTGCCTGTTTGCATTGTAGACCAGGAACGGAACGCTCTGAATTTCTTTTCCTAATTTTTATATTTAACAGTCATTTATGGAGGAGATGACGCGCAAACAACCTGATGTGGACCGGGTCACCAAGACATATAAGAGGAAGAATATAGAACCTATCCATGCTCCTTTCATCGAGAAATCCCGCAGTGGTAGCAGTACGTTTCCTGCCCACAATTCTAGGATGCTTCCTTCCTGCTAATTGAAGATGAGCATTTACTTACAAAGTTCCATTGGGAGAATTATGTTTTCATTTTCCAAACCATACTGAATCTGAACAAAAATCTCTCATTTTGAAACTCACTTTTTAACAATGACAGATTAGTTATACTTTATTTTCTTCAATTAATATGAACCTGCAAAGTGGTAAAAAGCCTGTTCTGTATTTAGCAGTAGCCTTTCCATTGTTCAATTTGCATTTCCCACTGCTGTTTTTACTGAGTTGACATGTCCTCTGTTCACCAAGGTAGGACAGAATTGATTAGATATTTGTTGTGGGCAGGTAAGTCCTCACTGGCTGGGAGGAGCCACATTAGTTTTACAATTACTATACCTCCATACCAATATGTTGCTGTCTTCTTTTCTCAGTTACCCCTAGTTCGTAGTGCAGCTCTTCCTTGTTCGCTTGCTTTTTTAACTTGAAGACAATGTGTCATATCCCAAATCTCAAACTCATTATGTAGCCAAGGATGACCTTGAACATACAGCCATTTCTTTCTGGACTGCCAAAGCCAGCATTTCTAATCCTGTGATTATTTTTTCTTTTAGGAAAGTCCTTGAGTCAGCCCACACCTCCTCCTATGCCAATCCTTTCACAGTCTGAAGCAAAAAACCCACGAATCAACCAGCTCTCTGCCCGATGGCAGCAGGTGTGGCTGTTAGCACTGGAGCGCCAGCGGAAGCTGAATGATGCCCTGGATAGACTGGAGGAGGTAATGCCCCACCAAGTGGCCGTCACATGACTTTGGTTTTGTTTTCATCAAAACACAGCCCTTTGTGTGGTGTTGGTGGTATAGTGGTAAACATAGCTGCCTTCCCAAACAACCCATTGAGACCCTCTTAGTATGACCTGTGTGCTTTTATCTAGTTCATGAAAGCAGAATTAGCTCTTCACTGACTCAGTACTCCTTTCTTTAAGCCCCTGAATAATAAAACACAATTCTTAACAGAACCAAACAGAGGAGGCTTATAGCATCTAGTTGTATAAAACAAACCAAACAGTCCATACAAGGGTCAGGCCTTTGATCTGATTTTCCTCAGCACCTTACTATGTTTGAATATTGGAAACATAGCTTTAAGAACTTGTCTCTAAATGTATAGTTTATACAGAGGAGATCAATAATGACCCTGATATATGAAGATATATGTATTATATATAATCTGCTACACAGTTACAAAATAAGAGTAATTTTGTATAATTTTGTTTCTCTGTTAGTCTTCACTAGTCATGAAAAGGAAAACAGTTTTGAAGTATCATTACCAATTAAAGATACATGGTATTGTGCTTCTCTAACACAAGCATCTAATATCTTTTTTTTTTTTTTTCTTTTTGAAGCAGGGTTTCCTTGTAGCCCCAGCTGGCCTGGAACTCACTATGTACACCAGGCTGGCCTGGAACTCACAGAGATCTGCCTGCCTCTGCCTCCCAAATGCTGGGACTACAGGTGTGCGCCACCACACCTGGCTACTAATATCTTTTATATTCTTTTATTTGTGCATATCAAAGCAGCTATGTCCAGAAGTGAGTGTTCTGTGTTTCTTGTTGTTATTTCCATAGGTCAGTTGAGTTTTAAGCACATTTGATTCTTGGCGCTTTCCCCCCCATTCCTTCCAACTTTGGAGTTTGAAAGACCAAGGGGGAAAATGCTGCACTGTTAAGTCACTCTAAGTGTGAATCACTAACATGGTCCAAGTAGCTGAAAACCCCCTGCCCACTGTATAGTCCTGCTTTCCATCAAGCTCAACTATTTAACATAGATGTCAGTTGGGTACTTTGCTCCCTCTGGTGAAATTCCAAAGAAACATGCTTGGATGTAGGTTGCATTTTTAATGCTTCCCATCTCAATTTCAAATAATCAGAAAATGATGGGAAACATGAACCTCTTGATGTGGTTCCTATGTATGATTATAGGCCTTCAAAACAACATAAAAGGGGTGCTGAGATCCCTCCTTTGATATAGAGTTGATTCCCTTACATCTAAGCAGGTGATCCTTGGAAGAGCCCAGAAGGAAAGCAAGACTGGCTCTACCCATCCTTATCCTACGTGCTCCCTATTTTCCACGGTGGTTTCTCTGTTACTGTTTCTCCCGCTACTCCATTACACTGCAGCTTGTTTAAATAACCCTGGCTTAAGTGAAGGAGGCAGATTGTGCCTTCACAGAGGAGGCTAATGTAGATAGCATTTTTGGTGCACCTTGGAAGGCCTGCATGGCTTTACTGAATATCTGAGAGTTTGGTTATGCTCTGGGCCCAAAACAGCGGTCAGTTATTCACATCTCCAATTTCTGTCTAGTTGAAGGAATTTGCGAACTTTGACTTTGATGTCTGGAGGAAAAAGTATATGCGTTGGATGAATCACAAAAAATCTCGGGTCATGGATTTCTTCCGGCGCATTGACAAGGACCAGGATGGGAAGATAACACGTCAAGAGTTTATTGATGGCATTTTAGCATCCAGTAAGTTCATTGTTACTCTAAACACACCTGAATTCCTTACACTTACTTTTAGAAGCTGTGATAGTCTGGCAAAGTCTTTCTGAAGTGAAATCTAGTTTGAAGGGAAGAAGGAACACAACTCTCCATTGAATGTGGGTTACTGTTTTTGTGGAGGAAAGAATCTCATTTCATTAGGAATAATAAGAATTCAAACATGATTGTAAAGTCAGCAGAACAATATGCTATTCCAAAGCAACACTGTTTTAGAGTAATGACAGCATTCTAAATATCCAGCAGTACTGGCATAAATAATCCATGGTATTGGTAGTTCTATGGAAGGTTTATACCTTTCGCTCTATCTTTGAAGTCTCAAATACTACTTTTTTGAAAATTGCCTAAGGAAGGGGTGGAGTGCTAAAGGATGCAGCTCAGTCCAGTAGAGTGCTTGCATAGCATGTATGAAGCCCTGGGTTCAATCCCCAGCACTGGGTAAACTGGATATGATGGTATATATCTGTAATCCCAGCACTTTGGAAGTAGAAGCAGGAGGATCAGAAGTTTGAGGCCAGCCTGGATTATATGAGACTCTGTCTCAAAACCCATGCTAGGACTACCTTATAGTCCTAGCATGCAGGAGATAGAGACAGGCAGATCTCTCTGAATTTGAGGTCAACCAGGGCTACACAGTGAAATCTTGTTTAAAAAAAAAAAAAAAAAAAAGGTGGGAATCTATAAGTAAAAATATAAAACTCCTAGAGAGGTGGCTCAGTGGTTAAGTGTAGTAGCCCCTACAGAGGACCCAAGTTCAGTCCTTATCACCTACATGGCAACTTACAACTGTCCATAACACCAGTTCCAGGGGATTGAACACTCTGTCCTGACCTTACATATATGAAGGCAAGGCACTTATACACGTAAAATAAAAATAATAAATAATTTTTTTAAAAAAATCATAACAGTGACTAATCCTTGGGTGATTTTTTTTTTTTTTTTTTTTGTTTTTTTGAGAAAGGGTCCCCCTGTCCTCCCTGTAGCCCCACCCGTCCTGGAACCCACTTTGTAGACCAGGCTGGCCTTGGACTCACAAAGATCCTCCTGCCTCTGCCTCCCAAGTGCTGGGATTAAAGGCATGTGCCACCACACCCAGCCGATGATGATATTTTTTAATAATTTCTATCTCTTTAAAATTTTTATCCTCTGAATTTTTCAAGGTAGATATGTATTACTTTTCAGAAAAAAATCAAGATATAATTATTTCAGGTATTTGTATGCCAACCAGGTACATGAGCCCTCTTAATGTTTAAAACTGTGTTTCCTTTTTCCCAGAGTTCCCTACCACCAAGTTAGAGATGACAGCTGTGGCTGACATTTTTGACAGAGATGGGGATGGCTACATTGACTACTATGAGTTTGTGGCTGCCCTGCATCCCAACAAGGATGCTTATCGACCAACAACTGATGCAGATAAAATTGAAGATGAGGTATGGGAAATTTTGAGTTTTTGATCATATTTGTTTATACTGTGCAGAATTTGGATGGATGACTCATCTGTGGAGAAGCAATCATTTAGACTTATGTTTCAGGTTCAACTTTTGGATGCTATTTCAACAAGCTCTAGGATGCTTCTGAATACTGAGTTCTAGCTTAGTCTAGATGGATGGTGCCATTGGTCATGTCTGTGGTACTCTTGAGGTCCACAGAGGAACTTCCTAGGGGATCAAGAGGACTTCAAATGCAGCACAAAGGAGTGAAATATGATAATATTTAAGATGGTGTGTATCCACCAAGCTTTTTGTCTAGTTAAGAACTGTATCACAGGGCTGTCAAGATGGCCTGATGAGTAAACTTGTTGGCTGTGCAAGCCTCATGACCTGATCCACTCCTGGAATGCACATAAAAATGGAAGATTGACTTCTGGGGCATTTCAGCTTCCGTGGGAAAATTCAGCTCAGTTCATAATTTATTAGTCATTTGATTTTGATACATAAACATTTTATTAGCACTTTCCTGAAAGGAATTTTGAAGCAGAGTAGAAGAATATTTCTTTAATCTGCGTTTTTTTCTCAATGTCTCTTCTATGTCAATTAGAGGAATGTATATTAATTTGGAATTAGAAGATAAATGCATGAATCAAAAGCCTAAAATGAAGCTGAGCGTGGTGGCGCATGCCTTTAATCCCAGCACGTGGGAGGCAGAGGCAGGCGGATCTCTGTGAGTTTGAGGCCAGCCCGGTCTCCATAGTGAATCCAGGCCAGCTGGGGCTACAGGGAGACTCTGTCTTAAAAAGACCCCCCAAAAAAAAGCCTAAAATGTGTCAGGCATGGTGGTAGACACCTTTAATTTTAGCGCTCAGGAGGCAGAAACAGATCTCTGAGTCCAGTCTGGTCTATATAGCAAGTTCCAGACCAGCTAAGGCTGTATAGTGAAATCCTATCTCAAAAACAATAACAAAAATCTAGAATGATTTAATAATGAATAACTTTTACATTTACATGTTTAAAAAAAAAACTTGATTCTTTAATTAAGAAGTCTTGCTGTGCTCTTCACACTCTTGCTATTGTTCACAATCAACAGGTCACAAGACAAGTGGCTCAGTGCAAATGTGCAAAAAGGTTTCAAGTGGAGCAGATTGGAGAGAATAAATACCGGGTAAGGAAAAGAAAAACCAGTCCCTTTGTGGTGGTCATTTCCTCAGGTGTCACCCCTAGATGTGAAAGCAGCTGACCCACAGTAGATTAGATCATTCATCCTTTTCACTCCTGGTGCCCTGAAACCCAGATCCTGTGGACTACTGACCCTCATCCCTAGATATCTGGTGTCAGATGTCCTGTTAGGCTAAGCTTATTTCATGCCCTGTGTAGTTCACCTGAAAAATTACCATTATCCAGATAGATAGTTCTTACATTTGACAAGATAGAAGGCATTTCAGAGCCTTCACTCCTGACCAAAGCCTTTAGAGAGATGAATGCACCTTTGAGAACAGTTACATCAAATGATGAATGATGGTAACCCATGTGTCACTCTAGCACTTGGGAGGTAAAAGCAAAGGGATCATTGCCAAATACAAGGCCAACTCTACATAATGAGCTCCAGCTTCACAGGGCTACATCTCAAAACCCTGTCTCAAAAATTAAAAAAATAAGAGTTAGGGATGGAGAGATGGCTTGGTAAGTAAAGAGTAAAGTCTTAACAACCAGAGTTCGATCCCTGGAACCCACATGGTGGGAAGAGAACTGACTTCCACAGGTTATCTTCAGGCTATGTGCACATATGCACATGTAAATAAATTTTAAACTCTTTTTCTTAATTTAAGAAAGAACAACAACAAAGGCTAATGATTCATCCCCAAGAACTGGTGATCATAAGCCTAGGTGGCTCTCAAGCTCAGAGAAGACTAGGGAAACTATGTCAAGGCCCCATCACATTAGTGTTCCTGTGCTGAGCTGGGCTACAGGTGGGGCCTAGGTGTACTAGGGAGCCAGCTTCAGTGGTCTTCCCTGGAAAGACTTGCTAGTTGTGACTGTAACTAATAGTAAACGATACTTGTGTTTTAACTTCTCTTGGGAACAGGGTCAGGGATGTAGTAGGGACCTAAACCGGACTCCTAAACTATATTCATCAACTTGTCAAGATTCCCTAAAATTCTCTTTTTTTGTCTTTTTGAGACAGGGTCTCCCTATAGCCCCAGCTGTCCTGGATCTCGCTATGTAGATCAGGCTGGCCTTGAATGCACAGAGATCCGCCTGCCTCTGCCTCCCAAGTTAAGATGTGCGCCACCACGCCCAAGATTCCCTAAAATTCTCTTTTTTTGTCTTTTTGAGACAGGGTCTCCCTATAGCCCCAGCTGTCCTGGATCTCGCTATGTAGATCAGGCTGGCCTTGAATGCACAGAGATCCGCCTGCCTCTGCCTCCCAAGTTAAGATGTGCGCCACCACGCCCAAGATTCCCTAAAATTCTCTTTTTTTGTCTTTTTGAGACAGGGTCTCCCTATAGCCCCAGCTGTCCTGGATCTCGCTATGTAGATCAGGCTGGCCTTGAATGCACAGAGATCCGCCTGCCTCTGCCTCCCAAGTTAAGATGTGCGCCACCACGCCCAAGATTCCCTAAAATTCTCTTTTTTTGTCTTTTTGAGACAGGGTCTCCCTATAGCCCCAGCTGTCCTGGATCTCGCTATGTAGATCAGGCTGGCCTTGAATGCACAGAGATCCGCCTGCCTCTGCCTCCCAAGTTAAGATGTGCGCCACCACGCCCAAGATTCCCTAAAATTCTCTTTTTTTGTCTTTTTGAGACAGGGTCTCCCTATAGCCCCAGCTGTCCTGGATCTCGCTATGTAGATCAGGCTGGCCTTGAATGCACAGAGATCCGCCTGCCTCTGCCTCCCAAGTTAAGATGTGCGCCACCACGCCCAAGATTCCCTAAAATTCTCTTTTTTTGTCTTTTTGAGACAGGGTCTCCCTATAGCCCCAGCTGTCCTGGATCTCGCTATGTAGATCAGGCTGGCCTTGAATGCACAGAGATCCGCCTGCCTCTGCCTCCCAAGTTAAGATGTGCGCCACCACGCCCAAGATTCCCTAAAATTCTCTTTTTTTGTCTTTTTGAGACAGGGTCTCCCTATAGCCCCAGCTGTCCTGGATCTCGCTATGTAGATCAGGCTGGCCTTGAATGCACAGAGATCCGCCTGCCTCTGCCTCCCAAGTTAAGATGTGCGCCACCACGCCCAAGATTCCCTAAAATTCTCTTTTTTTGTCTTTTTGAGACAGGGTCTCCCTATAGCCCCAGCTGTCCTGGATCTCGCTATGTAGATCAGGCTGGCCTTGAATGCACAGAGATCCGCCTGCCTCTGCCTCCCAAGTTAAGATGTGCGCCACCACGCCCAAGATTCCCTAAAATTCTCTTTTTTTGTCTTTTTGAGACAGGGTCTCCCTATAGCCCCAGCTGTCCTGGATCTCGCTATGTAGATCAGGCTGGCCTTGAATGCACAGAGATCCGCCTGCCTCTGCCTCCCAAGTTAAGATGTGCGCCACCACGCCCAAGATTCCCTAAAATTCTCTTTTTTTGTCTTTTTGAGACAGGGTCTCCCTATAGCCCCAGCTGTCCTGGATCTCGCTATGTAGATCAGGCTGGCCTTGAATGCACAGAGATCCGCCTGCCTCTGCCTCCCAAGTTAAGATGTGCGCCACCACGCCCAAGATTCCCTAAAATTCTCTTTTTTTGTCTTTTTGAGACAGGGTCTCCCTATAGCCCCAGCTGTCCTGGATCTCGCTATGTAGATCAGGCTGGCCTTGAATGCACAGAGATCCGCCTGCCTCTGCCTCCCAAGTTAAGATGTGCGCCACCACGCCCAAGATTCCCTAAAATTCTCTTTTTTTGTCTTTTTGAGACAGGGTCTCCCTATAGCCCCAGCTGTCCTGGATCTCGCTATGTAGATCAGGCTGGCCTTGAATGCACAGAGATCCGCCTGCCTCTGCCTCCCAAGTTAAGATGTGCGCCACCACGCCCAAGATTCCCTAAAATTCTCTTTTTTTGTCTTTTTGAGACAGGGTCTCCCTATAGCCCCAGCTGTCCTGGATCTCGCTATGTAGATCAGGCTGGCCTTGAATGCACAGAGATCCGCCTGCCTCTGCCTCCCAAGTTAAGATGTGCGCCACCACGCCCAAGATTCCCTAAAATTCTCTTTTTTTGTCTTTTTGAGACAGGGTCTCCCTATAGCCCCAGCTGTCCTGGATCTCGCTATGTAGATCAGGCTGGCCTTGAATGCACAGAGATCCGCCTGCCTCTGCCTCCCAAGTTAAGATGTGCGCCACCACGCCCAAGATTCCCTAAAATTCTCTTTTTTTGTCTTTTTGAGACAGGGTCTCCCTATAGCCCCAGCTGTCCTGGATCTCGCTATGTAGATCAGGCTGGCCTTGAATGCACAGAGATCCGCCTGCCTCTGCCTCCCAAGTTAAGATGTGCGCCACCACGCCCAAGATTCCCTAAAATTCTCTTTTTTTGTCTTTTTGAGACAGGGTCTCCCTATAGCCCCAGCTGTCCTGGATCTCGCTATGTAGATCAGGCTGGCCTTGAATGCACAGAGATCCGCCTGCCTCTGCCTCCCAAGTTAAGATGTGCGCCACCACGCCCAAGATTCCCTAAAATTCTCTTTTTTTGTCTTTTTGAGACAGGGTCTCCCTGTACTCCCTGTAGCCCCAGCTGTCCTGGAACTCGCTATGTAGATCAGGCTGGCCTTGAATGCACAGAGATCCGCCTGCCTCTGCCTCCCAAGTTAAGATGTGCGCCACCACGCCCAAGATTCCCTAAAATTCTAAGAAAAAAAATCAGTGATTAGCTGGGCATGGTGGCACATGCCTTCAGTCCCTGAACTCATGAGGCAGAAACAGGTAGATCTCTATTGCTTTGAGGCCAGCCTGGTCTAGGTCTACATGGTAAGATCTAGGCCAACCAAAACTACGTAATGAGACCCTGTCTCAAAAAAAAAAAAAAAAAAATCTATGATTGGCAAAGAGGATTTAGATGGCTATTTTCAACTGAAACACAAGAAAATCCAGGTTCCATTTCAAAAATGTCCTCAAGGGCTATAGCTGTACTCAGTAGGAAATTACACTAAATCCTACCACACTGCTACTAGCTGAAGAGGACAGGGTACTTCTGCCTTAAATCTAACCTGGCATTTATTATGGTCCACGTAATTCTGTGTTTACATGAGGATTTAGATGGCTATTTTCAACTGAAACACAAGAAAATCCAGGTTCCATTTCAAAAATGTCCTCAAGGGCTATAGCTGTACTCAGTAGGAAATTACACTAAATCCTACCACACTGCTACTAGCTGAAGAGGACAGGGTACTTCTGCCTTAAATCTAACCTGGCATTTATTATGGTCCACGTAATTCTGTGTTTACATGTTAGATTTTATTTTCTTCTGTTTGTTTTTATAGTGTTATTTTTGTGACAGATGATCAGTAACATGGTTAGTTTATATTTGCAAGACATGATTTCTGTTCCTCAGTGTTAATTTGACAAACATGTTCTCTTTTTCCCCCTGCATCCTTTATTCTTACTGTCTGTAGTTCTTCCTCGGCAATCAGGTACAGTGTGCCTTGCAATGTCCTTCTCCATGGATATGGTCTTTGTAGCTGATGCCTGTTCTTTGCTACGGGTTAAGGACATAATGAGAAGCATGCCTGGGTCACATCTGGTTGTCTTACCAAGTGGAAAAACTAACAGGGCCATTATTCCAAAGCTGTTTTAGCAGCAAAAGAATAAAAATCTCACTTAAAAAAAAAAAAAAAAATGAGGGCCAGGCATGGTGGCACACACCTTTGATCCCAGCACAGAGTCTCAAAAAAAAAAAAAAAAAAAAAAAAAGATGACCTGTGCCATTCAGAATTAGATTGGCTGAAGACAACAGTATCGTGCACTAAATTATAAGTAATATGACTTCCATACCAACCTGTTCCACCTAGTAAGAAGAACCTGGTCTTGTACTTGTGTTTTAGTTCTGATTTGAGATGTCTTTTGGCAGTTAACACAAATTTTGTAATGTACACTTGAGTCAAAAAATCCCGAGGGACTGGGCATGGTGGCACACGCCTTTAATCCCAGCACTCAGGAGGCAGAGGCAGGTGGATCTCTGTGAGTTCAAGGCCAGCCTGGTCTACATAGTGAGTTCCAGGACAGCTGGGGCTACAGGGAGACCCTGTCTCAAAAAGACCAAAAACAAAAAAGTCCTGAGGGTACCTTAATACTACCTAAGTGCTTCCTTAATAATTATAGCTATTTACATGTATATTTTATAATTTTAAGGTACCAAGGAGGTATGGAAATCATAATTGACTACTGCCTAAATTTGCAGATTATGGCTGGCCGTTCAAAATCAAATGGGCTCGTGTTAGATTCATGCAAAGCTTTGGAAGCCTTGACTCCACTTGGCAACTCTAACCTTTCAGATCGTTTTGAGGGTTCTTTAGTGCTGTGTTTTCAAATGTGGAAGGAAGTTGCATGAGTAAAATTCTCTCTCTCTCTCTCTCTCTCTCTCTCTCTCTCTCTCTCTCTCTCTCTCTCTGATAGGAAGATAGAAACACTAAGAATTAATTAAAGACCTTGATGAATGTTAAATTCCAGCCACTGCAATAATCACTGTATATAGTAATACTGTGGTTAGAAACACTAAGAATTAATTAAAGCCCTTGATGAATGTTAAATTCCAGCCACTGCAATAATCACTGTCTATAGTAATACTGTGGGCCAGTAGAAAGAACAGGGCTAGAAAAATCCAAAGATGAGAACAGTCAAGTGGCTTTAAATAAGTCATTGTGTCTTATGCCTATATTTCTAGCTCCTTGGGAAGCTGAGACAGGATTGCCAGTTGAAAGCCAGTTTGAAGCCAGCTTTGGAAATTGAGCAAGTCTGTCTCAAAACTTAAAAATAAAAAGATAAACAGTACAGCTTAGTGATAGAACACTTGCTTAACATGTCTCTGGGTTCTATCCCCAGTATTGCAATTAATCAATAAATTATTGTAGTCAAATGTCCAGCATGCCTGCTTCCTGATGACTGCAGCTACTACTAGGGCCTCCTTGAAGAGACACTGACCCCTTCCTCCACTACTCCATTAACCAGGAGAGCATCTCATCTGATGAGTCATTCTGATATTTTGAACAGAATCACGAAGTTCACACCTGAGGCCTCAAAAATTATGTGCCACACACAACTGTGTTACAATAGCCTACGTTCTGGTGGGAGAAGGAAACAGTAGTTACTGGCTCCCAGGACTCTGGTTCTGAGTTCTTTGTGGCTTTCTCACAGCCCTGTTCCGTAGGCTCCTGGAGCTGTATAGCCTTCTCACCACTCATCATTCTGGCCCCAAATGCCTTGGCTCAGCTCTTTTTCTAGAGCTCAACAGAAGCAAGTTAGAATATTTCAAACAGAGCTTCAGGGAGATATTAAGAAAAAGCAACCATGAACTCAATGGAATAATAAACTGTAGGGTGCATATTCTAAGAATAAAGCAACTACAAGGTTCCTTCCTATTCACTCTGGTCAACTCACAGGTGCTTTTCTTAACCTTTCCTCACCTACCCAGAAAAAAAAAACTCAAATAGTAGCTCAGGTCACTAATGGCACCTCAGTGATTTCCCCAGAATCTGTTTCCTCCAAGACAGGGAGCAACTTCCTTCCTGGCAAGGATCTTTTGCCTTAGAACTCTGGGCTGATTCTACTGCACTGTGCTATCACTGGTCACTTTGTATAGAAACTTAAAAACTATTAAGTGTAGGACTATTTGTTTTCAAAGTAATGGCTAGGGAAGGAAGGGAAAATACTTCTCAGGCTTTCTGCCTATATAAATAGTACATTTGAGTCAGAAGAACTAAAGAATAAGGAGAATTACCATCAATTTATTATTATTGAGGAAGGATGGTTATCCTTCTCAAGCATCCTTTCTTGAATTTTCAATTTTTCTCTGTTTCAAAGTTATGATTCTTCTTTGTAACTTTGAAAACCCTGATTAGGTGATTAAGTAGGTCCTTTTCCTTACCTCCCCTCCCCAAACATTGTCCTTCAGTAACCTTAGGAATTCCATTTCTTTAACCAAATGTCTGGTGTGTTTTGGAGTCTTAGTATACTTTTCTTTTGTTGTCTCTTCACTTTGGGGAAAGGGTGGTTTATACAGTGGAAAATGCCAAATAATTAGGACTCAGATGTGGGGATTTTTAGGTAAGAAAAAAAAGGAAATTAAAATGAGATCATGCTTGTTCTAAGGTCTAAAATGATTACTGAACACTATTTCTAATCATGGTAAGATTAAAATTTCTGTTTCTTCAACTAAATGTTAATGCTATCTAATCATTTGTTTAGCCAAAAAAAAAAACCTTTTTTTCTTCAGTAACATCACAATCAGAAAATACTTAGGGTGTACTTCTGAGAACCAGATGAAGAAAATCAAATTTTCTCACGAGCTTGTAATGAGGATGCTTTGCAAGAGTTTCCTTAATGCTTGACTTAGTAGTATTTACTACTGTCCACTTAACTTTAGAGCACACTGTATTCAGACATTGACCCCCTCCCTTTCTTTAAGAAAAGAACATAGCAGTGTGGGGTGCTCATTTGCACAGAATCTTTGAGAGTCAAAGTGAACAAATACCTGTCCATCTCCCACCTCTACTTCTGGTGCAGGAGTAGGGGTGTGACGAGCAGGGGAAAGTATTTGAAAACACTGCTCTGTAGCTTAGTGTTTCTGCTTCGCTGTTTGCTAACTTTTTATTGCAAATGTAAAAATGCAGAATAGAGTTCAAAATTTTCCCCAATTCCTGTCTGAATGCTGTCTGCTCTGTGGAGGATGAAAGGGTATGGGTCTACTTTAAGGCAGTCTATTAACTAAATTTCCCCTTGATTACAGTTTGGGGATTCTCAGCAGTTGCGGCTGGTCCGTATTCTGCGCAGCACAGTAATGGTCCGTGTTGGTGGAGGATGGATGGCCTTGGATGAGTTTTTAGTGAAAAATGATCCCTGCCGAGGTAAGGATGTCACCTTGAGCATGAATGACATAATAGGATGAGAGTTGGCTCACAACACTGATTTTCCATGCTTACAAGAAGTCCTGATGGTGTGCCTTCCAGGTTTTTGTTCTTTTGTTAACGTGCCTAGTATCCCATCTAGCACAGATTAGAGCTCAGGGTTCCAAGTAGAAAAAACTATACAGACGTTGATGCTGTTAGGGATGAACACAGGAATGAGAATTACTAATTTGCTGGTGTCTCTAGACACACACTTGGGAGGTGGAGGCAGAAGATTAGAAGTTCAAGATCATCCTCAAGTTCATAGCAAGTTCAAGGCCAGCCTGAGCTAGAATGAGACCCCATCTCAAAACAAAAAGAATTTATTTATATTATCTGTTTAGTTTGGGGCATGGCATTAGCACTAACCTACAGAGAAGCCGCATGTACACTTCAGCTTGGGTTCTTTGGCTTATAATTCCTGTGACTGAAACTCCGAGAAAAGGTTGGGTTATTCTCATGCAGAGGATCAGTGACCATCCTTGATCAGGAGGGAAGTTAAAGAATACATTCCAGCAGCCCCCACAAATGGATGCGTAAGCAAGACCATGGAATATCTCCCTACAAAGACATGAGAAGGCACCACCCACCGCAGGCAAAAGAAACTATCAACTTAGCCTGAGCAGCTAGGAATAAGGGCTGCAGCAGGGGGACAAATGACCAAATCCCAGGTGCTACATCCTGCTCAGCCTTGTTCACTCCACTGCTTGTGGATATACAGGAGGCTCCCCAACTGTCTGCCAGTTTTTCTTTCTTGACTGGTTTCTGCGTTTCCTGCTCTGTCTCTGTTTCTTTGTGTTTACATATTTTTTATTCTAGTTCACCATCCTGGAAGTAAAATAAAGCGCTCTGATTCCAGCTCTTCGATTTCCAGTCAGTCTCCCATAGGTTGGCTTTTATGCTTTGTCCCTCTTCCCCCATACCCTAGTCCTTTGAGAATGGCTTTGCTTCTTAAACTGTAACATCTCTTGGCTCTGTAATAGCTGCTGCCTTGGTGAATGCTCAAAATATCCAAATCATCACTTTTCCAACAACCTATGTTTACAGGGCATAAGACGTTCCCGTTGAGATGGTATCCACAGAATTTGAATATCTATTTAATAAATATCTTTATAAGTTAGGTGCCACACACTACTATACTACTATAAGCACACTATGAATAAGTATACATTTATGCTCATATCCATCCTATGAGGTGCAGATTCTATTATTGCCATCCTGTAGAGTAGGAAATTTCTATTGAATAACAGAAATTTTAATAACCTGATCAAGAATATCCAGCCAGTAGAATGGCAGAGTGGGATTCAAGTCCAAGCTGCCTTGGCTCTTGAGCCAGGTGCTCCTGGCCCCTGTCCTGTACATCTCAGACTCACATGCATTGCTAATCCAGCTTTATAATTAAGTTATTAAGGCTTATTTATAGCCTTAGCTGAAATAAATGTTTGTAGTATACTTATATATGACTTTTTTGAAAGTGGTTTATAATCATACTCAGGATTTAGAAAGGACAGAGCTAAAGGATATGATTCTCACATGAATTCAAATATGTCCATAAATTTTTCCTGTAACTTTAATTCACTCTGCATTTACTCCCAACAAACCAGAATAATGGCTAAGCAGTAATAATTCCCATCAGATTTCTTTAATTTGAAAATACTTTTTCTGATAAACTCTGAAAGGATTTACTCAATTTTAGATTTTAATCATATCATGAACCAGTGTCCTTAATTTAAAAGTCTTCATTAGCTGGGTACAGTGGCACATGCCTTTAATTCCAGCACTCAGAAGGCAAAGCAGATGAACCTTTGTGAGATCATTAATAAAGTCTCACTTTTTCTGTCATGTATGATTAAGCAAAAGAGATTCTACATGTGGCATTTTAGAATCCTTGGTTGCCTATTTATTTGCTGCCTGCTCTATTCACAATTATATTGTGCTGCTGACCAGGGAGAATACTGCTTGCTTTATCCTTATCTTACTCTATAAAAATTGGAACTCCAAGGAAATTTGGGAGGGCAGCCTAGTAGCTATTTTCTATGGACCACTGGTACTCTTTTCTGCATCCTTCAGAGCAAAGGTAAGACTTCTCTGTGCCCCTATAGGAAAAACTTCTTGGAACTTGGGAATCACTTCTAGCCATTGACTGAAATAGAAAATTCCTCAGTAGTTTTCTTACCATCTATAAGCAGAATAAGTTATTTTTCATCAAATGAAAAACAGTGCTAGGAGGTGAACACCTAAGGGTTGGGATGGATGTCAGTACGTTAGATATGAACATCAAGAAGACAAATTGCTGGGCCTGATAGCACATGCTTATAATCCCAGCTACTTAGGAGATGGAAACAGAAACATTGAGAGCTGCAGCCCTAACTGCAGAGGAAGGCCCTGCCTCAGAAAAATAGAGAGGAAACTGAACAAAATCTATCTAGGGACTTTATAGAACTAATGCGGCTTCTTGAAACACTCTTTGTGGTAGAGTTTATATTTGTGTTGTATTCTGTGGGCCATAGAGAATGTTATACTGAGCATCAGAATTAATGACAAGATTACTATTACCCATTCACTTGTTATTTCCTTTTATATAGCTATTGAGAAACATGAAAGCTCTCAGATCGTGTTGCTTTAGCCAAATGTAAAAAGTAAAAATATGCTAGGCATGGTGGTGCACGCTTTTAATCCCAGCACTTGGGAGGCAGAGGCAGGCAGATCTCTGTAGGTTAAAGTCCAGTCTGGTCTACATAGTGAGTTCCAGGCCAGCTGGGGCTACAGGGAGACAAAAAAAAGTAAAAATATTCTGCTAGGTAGGTTTGCCACATAAACAATTTTTGTGGTATTGCTATAGTCAGAAATTTTATTCTATTTCATCTATAGCAAAGGAAATCAAAATGCTTTGGGTGGAGATAAAAACACTGCTCCTAGGGCTGGTGAGATGGCTCAGCAGGTTCAAGGTACCTGCTGCCTAATAACCAGAACCACATGAGCGAGGTAGAAAACTAGCTCCTACAAGCTGTTCTCTCACCTCCACAGACAAGCCGTGGCATGCACACCCACCCACATATTAATTTTTAAAATTAAAGAAGCAGGGGCGCTAGAGAGATGGATCAGCAGTTAAAGAGCACTGGTTGCCCCTGTAGAGGACCTAGGTTTGGTTCCTAGCACCCACATGTTGGCTGTAATTCCAGTTCCAGGGGATCCAGTGCCCTCTTCGGGCCTCTGCAGACTTTGCATGCACATGGTATATTGGCAGGCAAAACCCTCATAAAATGAAAATAAATCATAAAAATAATTTTTTTTTTTTTTTGGTCTTTTTGAGGCAGGGTCTCCCTGTAGCCCCTGCTGTCCTGGAACTCACTATGTGACCAGGCTGGCCTTGAACTCACAAGAGATCCGCCTGCCTATGCCTCCCGAGTGCTAGGACTAAAGGTGTGCGCCGCCACGCCCGGTTAAATAAATATTTTTTTAATTTTTGAAAATGTTCTTTTAAAAAATGGATATTCCTATGCCTGCTGTACTGTGTATGATTTTTGAGGCTCAGACAAATTATTTTATTACTCAAAGAAGTAAAAATCTTCATTTCGAGATTTAAAAGAACTGATTTGTGTGTGTGTGTGTGTGTGTGTGTGTGTGTGTGTGTGTGTATGTTGGTGCTTTTTGAGACAGGGTCTCCCTGTAGCCCCAGCTGGTCTTGAACTCACAGAGATCTGCCTGCCTCTGCCTCCCAAGTGCTGGGACTAAAGAACTGATTTTTTAAAAAATAATTTTTTTTAAGCCTGAGCATACAGTTAAACATATTCACATTGTACCATACATCCACAAAAGTATCCTTTTGTCTTGTAAAATCAAAACTCTTGTACCCATTAAACAATAACTTGGAACTAAAAATTTACTAGCCAATGTCAGATGGCCCTTGGGAAAATGATGGCCTCTTTGGCAGTTGAAGATGGAAGTTGAGATGGCTCCTGTCAGGATATTCTATAGGTATAAGTTTAGGGATAGAGCTTCCCCTACTAAAACATTGAGGCTGAGGGGTTACCTGTATTAGCGCATTTGACTAGGGTGCACAAGGTCCGGGTTTAGTCACCACCACTGCCCAAAACAGTCAGCTACTATGAATACTCTTTCTAATTTTGGGACTGTAATAGCCTATATTGTATCCTGTATTTAAAGGTTAAGGAGTGGTCAGGGAGGAAGGATAACCAAGAAAAGTGTCTTTGAAGCCAGGCAAAGGAAGTGCTTCAAAAAGAAGAGAGCAGTTAGTAATTTCTCATATCTAAATTACAACAGCAGAGAGATCTTTTGACTTATCATTGTAAAATTTTTACCTGCACACAACAGAGCATTGGCCAAGTAGAAGTCTGTTATTTTGGAGTGTGTAGATTGGCATAACATTCTAAAGATAAGCTGATGTGTCAGACTGGTTGGCATAAATCAGTTGACTCTGTGTGTGTGTGTGTGTGTGTTGAACCAGAGTACAGGATTACTTACAGGAGCATAGACTACTTACCAGTGGTTACACCATTGAAGAAAATGTGCCTCCCTCTCCTAATGAGTAGAGGTGAGATTTTAAAAAATATTTTATTAGCTGGGCGTGGTGGCACACGCCTGTAGTCCCAACGCATGGGAGGCAGAGGCAGGCAGGTCTCTGTGAGTTCAAGGCCAGCCTGGTCTACATAGTGAGTTCCAGGACAGCTGGGGCTTACAGGGAGACCCTGCTTCAAAAAGACCAAAGAAAAAGAAAAAAAAATACTTTATTATAAAAAATTTTTTTATTTTTATTATGTGTATGAGTATGTTGCCTTTATATTTATTATGCGTATGAGTGTATTGCCTGTGTGTATGTTAGTGCACCCATGTCATGCAATGCCCATGGAGGTCAGAAGAGAGGGCATTGGATCCCCTCAAACTGGAGTCACAGACAGTTGTTAGCGGCCATGTGGGTGCTGGGATTCAAACCTGGGTCTTCTGCAAGAACAACCAGTGTTCTTAACTGCTGAGCCATCTCTCCAGCCCCAACTAGCTGAAATTTTATGTGAGACATACACAGAATGGAGGAATAGTCTTGATATCCTCGTATTAAAAGTGTGTATATTGTTGTGCAAAGAAAAAGACATTCCAGTATTTTAATAGTGATATACCCTAAGTGTACTGGAGTGTATGGTACCCAGAGGTGGATGTTGGAATGTCTTCCTCAAACATTTCTCTGCTTTTTGTGAGACAGGGTCTCTCACTAAACCTGGAGCTTGCTATTTTGGCTAGACTGTCTCCCTTCCCTACCACTGGTTACGGATGCACAACGTCACAGCTGTTCAGCATCTGTGTGTCTGTGTAGATGGAATTTTGTTCTTTTTGCCCAAGCTGGTCCCAGCTCCTGGACTGAAGCATCTTCTCTACCTCAGCCTCTGGAGTAGCTGGTGCATGCCACCACACCCAGCCTGTAGCCCTCACTAAAACATTTAAAATGTAGCTATCTGCAATCAGTCTTCCTCTTGTATTCTCTGCTGATTTTTCAGGCACAATTTACTTAGAAATGAACTATCAAAAGTTCACTTGCTTGAGACCACACATCTGAAGTTTATCATGACTTAGGGCCACAAACAGTTCTTTTGAGGTGTCCAGATCCCCAGCTGAGTAGGTGATTTTCACCCATCAGTGTTACCTCTGTGTCAGCTTCATGTCCCCTATTCCCACCATTGTATTGGTCACTTGAACAGGCAAAGTAGTTAAGTGTAAGTTCTACACTACTGTTTTGGGTGATATGCAGTCTTACTGAAGTACCCAAGTGTGAAGGAAATGCACTTTGAGAAAGAATGCTTCCTAATGAGTGTAGGCACAGAAAAGTGGTGAAGTCTGGAAAAGGAGTTTAATAGAAAACTAATAGCCAGGGAATGAAACTGCAGAGACACAGTGCTTTGGGACCTAAGGAGAAGGAAGTACTGTGCTACACGATGGAAAGAAAGAACTAACTGCATCAAAGACCATTAAGACACAGACTATACAGCCCATCTAGGTCAGAGATCCAGTAGCCTGATCACCACTGGTGAAGAAACCAAGGTCCAAAGTAGCAGTCACTGGCTGGTGGTAGAACCTAATGCTTTAGCTGGGCATGATGGCATACACCTTTAATCCCAACACTCTGGAGGCAGAGGCAGGGGGATCTCTGAGATCAAGGCCAGCCTGTCTACATAGCGAGTTCCAGGCAGGCTGGGGCTACAGGGAGACCCTGTCTCAAAAACAAAATACCTGATGCTTTGATGTTAACATACAACATGTTGAGGGAAAAAAGAATGATTAACATTTTGGTCATAATGGTTCCCTTCTCCAGGTTTCCTGAAAGTCTTATTTGTTTAGATGTTGTTCTTAGTTGCCTTTGCCTTCAATTGCTATGACAAAACACTCTGAAATACCAGCTGGTAGAGGAAAGGGTTTGGTTTATATGTCCCAGGTCCCAGTTCACTACTTAGGGAACCCAAGGTAGGAACTCAGGGCAGGAATCTAGAGGCAGGAGGTGAAGCACAGGCCATGGAAGAATGCTGCTTACTGGCTTGCTCTCCTGGCCCATGCTTAACCTGCTTCCTTATACAATACAGAATTACCTGCCCAGGGGTGGCATTGCCCACAGTAAACAGGGCCCTCCCACTTCACTCAGTAAGAAAATGCCCACAGACATGGCCACAGACCAGTTCAGTGGAGACAATTTCCCAATTGAGTCTCACTCTACCCTCTACCCAGGTGTGTCAAGTTGACAACTAAAGCTATCCAGCACAGATGTATCTAATGTATTCTAAGACGGAGCAGTCTAGAGTGATTGAGGAGGTAGAAGACTCAGAAATCAAAGAACATGTTCTAGAGGAAGTATTTCTTTTAAATTAGTAGTGTCATCCACATTTAGCATTTGTTGATGAGTACTTAGAGTCTCCCTGTAGCCCCAGCTGGCCTGGAACTCCTGTGTAGACCAGGCTGGCCTTGAACTCAAAGAGATCTGCCTGCCTCTGCTTCTCGAGTGCTGGGATTAAAGGCGTGCACCACCACGCCCAGATGAGTCTACATTTTAAGTTCTGGTCTTACAGCTCCAGAAAGCCAGGGGACAGCACCTATTTGGTCCTCAGTCTGGTTCCAGAGTCCCTCCACCTCGATCTTCCTCTCCTACTTGCAGTTGCCCCTTCAGCTTTACTGCTTTTGGTTTTTACGTAACAGTTCTCACTGGCAAGTTTTGTGCATGGTCTTGATCTTTTTCTCTCTCCCTACATGTTTACTTCTTAATGATTCTGTCCTCATCTTTGTACTATCTGACTTCCTGAACCCCTCTCTTTAGGATTATTATTGACTGAATTCAAATGGAAGAGTCTAGACAATGTGAATTTCATTAATGTGTTTTTCTCCACCATATCATTACTACATCTCTTGTAAAAATTGCACAAAAAGTATACATGTCTATGAGAGAGAAAAGAGTGGTTTGATTAAGGTCAGAGGCTTGTGTCCTGCATCTGTTTCACCTTGAACAGTTACAGTGTGCTTATCCCAGGGGACAGTGGCAAAGCCAGACAGAAAGGATGGTCCTCTATTCACAGGCTTGCTTATTAGAGCAAGCAAGGCTCTTTTTAGCCAGTGTGTCTGCTGTGGATTAGAACCATGACAAAGCTGATAATTCATGAACTTCTAGTTTTAAAGAATCCACAGATGGTACAAAATCGAAAACTTTACTGTTATCATGGGGTCAAGCAGCTGTATGATCAGCCATCCAAGGTAAATTTTTAAGATAACTGACATGTATGTGTATGTTCATTCCCTTTTTAGCACGAGGTAGAACTAACATCGAACTTAGAGAAAAATTCATCCTACCAGAAGGGGCATCACAGGGAATGACTCCATTCCGATCAAGGGGTCGAAGATCCAAGCCATCTTCCCGGGCAGCTTCTCCCACTCGATCCAGCTCAAGTGCTAGTCAGAGTAACCACAGCTGTACATCCATGCCTTCTTCTCCAGCCACCCCAGCCAGTGGGACCAAGGTATGTGCTGACCTCTTTTATCATGTCCTTCTCTTGGTAGATGTTCATTGATCAGGGAAGCTTCTGAAAAGACTAGCAGGAGAAGGTACATAGACACATACAGAACAATTCTACCTCTACCAAGAATGCCCAGTTCCCACAGTGGTTAAGATTCACCACCTTAAGATGATTGGAAAAAACATTTACTAAAATACCTGTTGGTGGAGCTGGAGAGATGGCTCGGCAGTTAAGAACACCAGCTGTTCTTACAGAGGACCCAGATTCAGCTCCCAGCACCCACATGGCGACTAACAACCATCTGTAACTTCTGTTCCAGGGGATCTCATGTCCTCTTCTGGCCTCTGAGGGCATTGCACAACATGGGTGCACTTACATACATGCAGACAGTATACTCACACACATAAAATAAATAAAATATTTAAAATACCTGTTGGTAATCCATGCACTCAGGAGACAGAGGCAGGTTGATCTCTGTGAGACTGAGGCCTGGTCTACACTGTGAGTTCCAGGCCAGCTGGAGCTACAGAGAGACTATCTCAAAAAAAAACCCTCAGGGTTGGAGATTTAGCTCAGTGATAGAGCGCTTCCCTAGCAAGCACAAGGCCCTGGGTTCGGTCCTTGGTGCCAGGGAAAAAAAAAGACAAAATAACAACAACAACAAAAAAAAATCCTCAAAAACAAACAAACAAAAAAAAAACACTCAAAAACAACCAAAAAATAACTGTTGGGGCTGATTACACCAGAAACATTTCTTTCCTCTTATTCCCAGCTTGAGTTTGAGCTCATTCAGAGTTACAGTTACTAGTTTTGAAAGTCTAGGCACTGTCTGTGCAGCAGGAGCTAATAGCTCAGCTTGCTTGTTGGCAGTGGGATGCCTTTCTACCTGGTCCCTTTCATCCCATTGGACTGATGTACATTTCGTTTGTTTTCTGTTTCTTTAAAATTTAGTGTCTTTTTTTTTCTGTTCCCGATTTACTCCCCTTTCTGTTCCATTTTCAATTGTTCCTGCCCTTCCCTTTGGATTTCCATTTCACAGACTCCACTTCAGTTCTCTCGCTGTTATGACAAACCCTGGTTGGTAAACAGTAAAGCTGGCACCCATGTCAGGGACAACCATTGTCCTGACCTCCAGCTGCTCAGCCCTGAGGTAGAGTATGGCTTTGCTGAGTGGGACAGTCAACGAAGAGGCCCTCACTCATGCCAAGAACCTGCCCAGCTCTTCTTCCTGACATGATCCCATGTCTCTTCCATCTCTCGGGTGCTTGCTGACACAGCTGATTGATCTGATCCAGTGTTTTCAGGAGTTTCTAACTCGGATTCACCAAAATTGGAGATGAATAAGAGATGCCTAAAACAACATTGTTTAACAACTTTTATGCAGTTCAGCATATGTATTCAGGATGATTAATAATAGATATTCCTCGTGTTTTATTTGTTATTACTTATAATTATGTCTCTTGATGTCTCCAAATGTCAGATGCACAGACGAGTTATGAACACTTGAAATTCAACTACAGTGCATGTTCACCAATGTTCTATGTATTTAGGAGTATGATTTGCAAGACCCCTGCCCAGGGTGGTTGGTGCTGCCACATGGGTCCAAGGCATGGGTGCTGTCTACTTCAGCCAATCACAGCATCTCTGTCAGTGACCAGTGCTCTGGGGCTCCAGTTCTACTTTCTCAATTCCTTGGCCTAGGCACCTGGATCTCTATAGCTTTGATTAGAATACACTTGCCAACAGTTAAATGTCTTCAAGTACAGCCATTAAAATGCCTATTTTTGGAAGAACAGTGTCACAGAACCAAAATATGGCTGGGTGTTGTGGCACACACCTGTAATCCCAGCCCTTGGGAGGCCAACGCAGCCAGATCATGACTTTAATACCTCCTGGGCTACATAGTGAGACCCTGTCTCAAAAAAAGAAAAAAAACCTGAAACAAAACCCAGGCCAGAGGCTTATCTAGTAGCAGTGCAATTTGCATCTCATCTCCTACAGGGAAGTGTTGGACCTTTTTTTTTTTTTGTCTTTTTGAAGCAGGGTCTCCCTATAGTCCCAGCTGTCCTGGAACTCACTGTGTAGACCAAGCTGGCCTTGAACTCACAGAGATCCACCTGCCTCTGCCTCCCAAGTGTGCGTCACCACGCTCGGCTCTATGAACCATATATTTTATAGGCCTTTGATCAGGCAAAACTTCAGCCAGAGAAACAAGAGAAGGCACAGGCCAGTAGCTGTGAATGAACTGCCACTTTGGGATTCATTCCACTCCCAACTAAAACTTGGCTCAGAAATTATCTGGTTTCGAGCATATTATAGAGACTGACTGCCGGTAGACTCCCAAGAATCAACTTGCCGGCCTTGCTATTCTATAAATGGCCCCAGCTTCATGAGAATCTCACAATTTGGAAAAATTCAAATTCTCATACAATTCTGATAGGCCTTTTTTGTCTTAAGATGCTATATTTTAATAACTTTCATTTCAAGTTCTTTACGCACGGATAATCCTGTAGCCAGGCCGTGCCCTAACTTCAAACCCCAGGCCAGAGGCTCCATAGCAGCAGTGCTCAGGAAGGAGAGCTTCGGGAACTGGTGCCCCTCCTGGTGGCCAGGAGAGTTACTGCTTGAATGTTAATCATTTTCCTGTCGCTTTGCTTTTCCTTTATTAAAAAATGCAACAAACACAATGAGAGGTTGCTTTACTCTCCTTTCTATATAAGCATCTTCAAGGTTCTGGAAAACAATTTACCCAACTTATTTCAAAGAGGAATTGAAATAGTATACTGTGACATTAAGTGATATTTAAAACAGACTTTAAATACTTAAAATATTATTTTCTCTAAAATAAGTCTACGATCTTTAAAAAAGAAAAAAAGGTAAGAAAATGTAGCTCCTACCAGTGCCAGTAATCATGACATTCTTTCCCACGGTAGGAAATGGTTCTATGCATCTTCCATTCTGCAAGGTTTTATAGAGTCCTTCCTCTTTACCAGGTAGTTGTAGGTAGTAAGGATGTGAGAATAAAGTAATAAAACAAGGTCCCTGCTTTTCTGTGATTGATGCTTTAATGTGGCACAAAGCAACAACAAACAAGTAAACCTCTCTGATGAGGTTGTCCTTACAACAGAGCCCGTGAAGGAAATGTGAAGGAAAATACATATATTTGGGGAGGAAGGGTGTTACGGTAGTAACAGTCTTAGCTGAGTAAAGAGCAAGGGGACAAGACTAGGGACCTCCTTGGGCCATTTGACAAACAGCAAGGAGACCCAGATGGCTAGGACGATAGAGCAAAAAGGGAGGGTGGTAGAAATGAAGGAGAAACAGGATTAATCCCTCATTTTCCAAGAGAGACCCAAAGACACATCAGGGATAGAGATCAGAGCAGTGCTGGAATCTCTAACAGCAGTTTAGAGTTCTAGCCCCAAGACACTAGTAAACAGGGTTTTGGATTTTTCTTCTCTTAATTCAGTAATACTTATTTGTTATAACTATAATAACTTAATATTTGAAGATGTTTGCCTCATTTCCAGGGGAAATTTGTCAGCAAGATAAGGAATTAGAAGACATTTCACAATTTTAAATTGGAACTTAAAATCTTTTTGAGAATCAGTATCTCATCTAGGATACTTTTTAAATTTTTGTTTTCCTGGACTTTTAATTTGCTTTTCAAATGGCCAGTTATAAAGAGGCCTTTAAGTAGACAGTTTAAAATTAAATTTCTGTCAAAGATCTCATAAGTAAATACGACCTTTCATTATTTTTAAGGTTATTCCATCAACAGGCAGCAAGTTGAAACGACCAACACCAACTTTTCATTCTAGTCGAACATCCCTTGCTGGTGATACCAGCAATAGTTCCTCCCCAGCTTCCACAGGTGCCCGAACTAATCGGGCTGGTGAGTATCCATTCCATGAAGCATGCAACAGACCCAGGGTGGGAAGAATGGCCTGGCTACGAATGAGAGCACTGGCCTCCCAGCAGCCAGTGCTCCCACAGAGCCCGTGCTAGGAGAAGCCTTTGGTGTGATGCCCAGTAAAATAGAGCTGTGCTTCTTCAGACAGCCATTGCTTTTTCTCTTGTCACTGCAAATATCTCTAACCTTCTGTACCCAGTGCTGGGGCCCCTGCTCGGTATCAGAAATCATCTGGGTTGAGAGTGTGAACAGAAGAAAGGGCCGGTCTAGAGCAAAGGCAGTTTAAGTCATTTGTTAGTGATTTTTCCAAACTCGGTATTTTTCGTGGTTGCTGGTGAGGTGGGAAAGTAATAAATAGCTGGCTGTTCCTCCCGAGAACCTGGAAATTGGCTTTTCACCTCCATTTGCCATCTGCTCACATACTACCTCAACTGTTCGCCCATCTGTGCCAGCACGATTGAGCAGCCTGTCTGTCTGCTTTTGAGGTGTGGAAGATGGCCCGGCTGCAAACAGCAGCTTCTTATTCCTCAGCAGGAAGCTTTGCCAGTAGCTTCACAAGTCAGAAAAGGCTCCCCCTTGCCTTTGTGCAGATGAGAAAGTGCAGGTCCAGAAAGGCCACACAGCAAACCAAAAGGTGTTAGGAACAGCACCTAGGCCTCCAATCACTTGTGTTTCCACACCATTCCCTTATTAAGTCTCCTGTTTTTTGAATTCCAGACCCTAAAAAGTCCACCAGTCGCCCTGGGAGTCGGGCTGGAAGTCGGGCCGGAAGTCGAGCCAGCAGCCGGCGAGGAAGTGATGCCTCTGACTTTGACCTTTTAGAAACACAGTCTGCTTGTTCAGATACATCCGAAAGCAGCGCCGCAGGGGGCCAGGGCAACTCCAGAAGAGGGCTCACCAAACCTTCCAAAATCCCAACTATGTCTAAGAAGACCACCACTGCCTCCCCCAGGACTCCGGGTCCCAAGCGGTAACACTGTACAAGCACCCCAGCCACTATCCACTTGAATCCTGCTCCATACATTGGGTGTATATTTATTCTGAATGGGAGAAATTATATTGTTAAAAGTGTAAAAGAATAACTGTGTTATGAAGCTGCCTTATTTTTTTTTCCTTTTTGTAAGTTACTATTTTCATGTGAATATTTATGTAGATAAAATTTGTCTCCTGGTAACCCTGTAATGGATGGGGCCCAGAAATGAAATATTTGAGGAAAACAAATGAAAAGGTCAAGATACAAATGTGTATTAAAAAAGAAAAGCCTCTAAGTAGGGTTTCTGTGTGGTGCAGGGTTGTAAACCTGCTTTATCTTTTAGGATTATTCCTAAATGCATCTTCTTTATAAACTTGACTTGCTGTCTCAGCAAGATAAATTATATTTAAAAAAAAAAAAAAAGCCACAGTGTTTAAGAACCTATTCTTTTGTAAATCACAGACACCTCAATTAGCAAAACTAAGGAGAGGGCACTCACAACTCCATTTTTCCATTGTTTTGATGTCATGTAATTTTAGCTGAAGAGACAGAACCTCATCAAAGATAGCTTTTGTATACAATACAGCAAAAAGTGTTCATTGCAATACTGTCTTGGAATAATGTCTCAGTACTAGGTGTTTAAAAAGAACATAGAGCTGCTAGAATTCAGGGGTAAAATGAAACCAGAAACTGTCAGAACACAGGGGTTTTAAACTGATTTGTAATTGTCCAGCCTAGCTATCAATAATTCCTGCCCATCAGGACCCAGACCCCTGGTGAGGGAGGCTCCTTGGTGGCATTGTGAATTACAGATTTGTTTATCTGCATCTTTTTTTTTTTTTTTTTTTTTTTTTTTTTTTTTTTAAAAAAAAAAAAAAAAAAAGAGGACGTGAATTCCATGAGCCTATTCTGAAATGCGAACCTAAGACAAACACTTGCTCTTCCTTTAATGGAGTTCACCAGCACACTGTTCACCAGTCCCGTTTGCTTCCGTCTTTTTTGTGCGTGTAATAAAGTCAGCTGACCAAGTGACCACTAAGAGGGGCTGTCTGGAGCTCCTGTTTTTTAGCTGCTGTTTCTCTTCAGCTCCGACCATGTTGCTGTGTGATTATCTCAATTGGTTTTAATTGAGGCAGAAACTGAAGCTCTACCAATGAACTGTTTAAAAACAAGATACACTTTTGTATTAAAATTGCTTGCAGTAACAAATGTTTTGTAATTCCTGATTTTCTTCTGAACCACTACTTTATATTTAAATGTTACCCCTAAGGTATGAAAATGTTGTAGTACTTAAATACATTATTCAAATCAAGCTTTCTTGATGGATAAATTATAGAGCTCAATTTTTTCTTGTTTCTTTTACCCTTGTTAATTTTAACAAGGTAAAGAACCAAGGTATCATTAATACATGTGTAGGAATTCTATCCACCTGCATGATTAGATAATATCTAAGAAACTGGTGTTAGAAATCAAAAACATTCTGAAGCGAACAGGGCAAATGTTCCACAGTATGTTGAAATTTCTGTTTAAATGGTAGAATTTCAGAAGCAAGATTGGTTGTCCTGTTAACCATGAAAAGGCTGTTCTGCCTGCTGTAGGAGAAAACCAATGGCAAGGCAAGGTATAGAAAGAACCATAATTCTTCTGAGCTAGCTGATCAGAAGATGATCCCTAAAGAACCATTCAGAAGTGGTTTGAATAGAAGCTATGTGTTCATAGACTGGTCAGCTCCTTCTCACAGGTGTGGTTTGTGGACAAATGATGCATATCTGATGCTAGTTATAACCTAGCCAGGAGATGTTTTCCAGTTATGCAAACCTCAAGAATTCCTCCAGCTACTCTTGCACTTACACATGTATTTCCTGACATTCTCCACAGTGAACAAGGCTACAGGGAGTAGCTGCCCTGAGGCCTTCTTGCTGATCACCAAACTCAGGAAGGAAAACACTATACCCAATTATTGAAGATAGTCAAGTGAAGTTAGAGCCCACTGGAGATTTGGTCTTAATGCTGGAAGCCAATCGAATCCTGCTCCTTTATTTTAACTGGTATAGAAAGAAGTGAGAAAGTGACTTCCATGAGATCACAGGTGTGAGGTAAATGACACAGAAGCCCAGTCTTTGACTCCCTGTTTAAGTCTGGCCCTTCTGTTTCCTCAAGTCTTTAGCTGGTCTTAAAATTACTAGAACAAAAAGCTGGGCGTGGTGATGCACACCTTTAATCCCAGCACTTGGAAGGCAGAGGTAGGCCTGGTCTACATAGCGAGTTCCAGGCCAGCTGAAGCTACAAGGAGACCCTGTCTCAAAAAGACC